ATAGAACTCCTGCAGAAATTGCTTAAAAGTTGCTTTAAAAATTTTGTGGCTAAATCCAAAGAACCATGCTTACCTTGAACCTACAATATAGCAAATTATTAGTCTTCAAATCCAAAATACATTTGCTTACAAAAATCTGTTGCAGTTTAGTCTAGTCAAAATTAACATTACTTTTTCAATAAATAAATATTTTATGACAAAATGGAATACATTTTAATGAGTTGGAATATTTTATGTACATGGGTATTGTGCCTGCATGTGTGTCTGGGCATCACATATATGCCTGGTGAACCACAGAGGTCAGAAGCCATCAGATCTCCCAGAACTGTAATTGCAGGCAGTTGTAAACCACCATATGGAAATCAAACTTAGGTACTCTGCAGAGTACTCTTAACCCTGAGCCATCTCTTCAGCACTAATATTTTTTTTTCTTTGACATTATAATCATTACTTTTAAAGACATCACAGGACTTTTTTCCTATTATAAAATATAAAATTATTGGCTTGGAACTTAAAAAAAAATAGGGGCTAGGTTTATAGCCTTGTGCTGAAACAGTTGCCTAGCAACCATGTGTGAGGCCCTGTGTTTGACTCCAGCACTATCCATTCCCCCAAAAAAGGGGGAGGAAAAATAGAGGTTTTTTGTTTGTTTTTTTGTTTTTGTTTTGTTTTTCTTTTTCTTTTAAGCAAGATCTCACTAAATAACCTTAGCTATTTTAGAATTCACTTTGTAGACCAGGCTGACCTAAAACACACAGAAAAATGACTACCTCTGTCTCTCAGTGCTTGAATTAAAAGTGTAAGTTCCCAACAAGAGAAAATATTTCAGTGGCTATAATGATACCAAGCTAAAAATTAAATTGTATCTGCCTTCCCCAAAGCTATTTCCTGTTATATAGGTAAGTTCTTTAAAATGTAAAAAGAATAATACTACCAATATAATGGAAAAAGAATGATTGTACCATGACTAAAGAGGTTCTAGTCTAGGCATTAATGGGTATCTAAAAATATTAGGAAGACTTAGTAAACTACTAAAAGATGAGCACTTAATGTAAAATATTTTAGTATATTAGAACATATGCCTATAATTCCAGCATCCATAAGGCCTAGACTAGAGGAAGAAAGACTTGAGAGTCTTAAGGCCATCCTGGCTACATAGAGAAACCCTGTCTCAAACTAAAAAGAAAGTTATGGTGAAATCAACAGTCAACATAATTCTACCATTCCTTTAAAATCAGGTGTGAAACAGAATTCTGTTATCATAACACCCAGAATGTAGGTTGATAAAGATCTTCCTTGTGTTCATGCTTTTTATGCACAGGTTGGAGACAACAGAATAGCTAATAAGGAACTATATTACTTTTCCTATTGCTGTGATAAAATACCCTGACAAAGCAACTTAAGGAAGGAAGGGTTTATTTTGACTTAGAGTTTGAGGGTACGGGTCTTCATAGCAGCAAGAGCTTGAGGCAGCTGGTCACATTATTAAGGAAGCAGAGGAAGGTGGATGCTTGTGTTTAGCCCACTTTCTCCTTTTTATGTGATTCGGTATCCTAGCCCAGAGAATGTTGCCACTCACAGTGGATGAATCTCCTGACTTCATTTGACCTCATCATGATAATAACCCTGTACAGACATTCGCAGAGGCTGATCTCCCAAGTGATTCTAGAACCCATCCAGTGAGTGGTTCATGAAATTGCATGTTGCAAAGCAGTATACTTTCCCTGGACTGTTTTTTATAGAGTATTTATTAGAGGTCACTATTTTAAAATGCGATTTCTACCTTTTGAACTAAAACTTAGTAAGACTTATAAATCTTACAAGTACAGTTTGACTGTTTTTTCTTTTTATTGAATTTTTTCATATAATATATTTTGATATTTTTCACCCTCTCCCAATTCCTCCTAGATCCTCCCCATCTCCCCACACACCCAACTTTATGTTCTCTCTCTCTCTAAAAAGAAAATATACAGAGAGACAGGAGAGAGAGAGAGAGAGAGAGAGAGAGAGCAAGCATAAATACAAGTCAAAAACCTGCCAACAGTTCGTTTTGTTACTCATCTACTCCTGGGTGTGGGGCCTACCCTAAAGTATGAGCAATATACCAGTGAGACTCCATTGGAGGAAACTAATTTTTCCTTTGCTAGTGGATATCATTTGCAGATAGATTCTTGGTTAGAGGTGGGACCTTATGGTCATAGCCCCCTCTCATCGCTTAAACCTGTGCAGAATCTGGGCATGTGACCCTGCTCTATGTGAATTCATATGTGCATCAATCCTGTTTTGTCTGGAAGACAATTTTGTTAGAGCTGCCCATCACCTCTGGCTCTTGCATGTCTTTCCATGTCCTCTTATGTGTAAGTCCCTGAGCTCTGAAAGGAGGAGTTTGATGAAGGCATCCCATTTAGTACTGAGTGTTCCAGAGTCATTTCCGCACATTTCCAGTTGTGGGTCTCTGTGTTAGTACCAATCTACTGCAAAACCAAGCTTCTCTGGAGATAGTTGAGTGAGACACTGATCTGTAGGTAGGTATAGCAGAATATCATTAGGAGTCATTTTATTCCTGTGTTCTTTTGATGGAATAATATAGTAGGTTCTCCCAGCCACCCACCCTGGCCCATGACCTGTCTAGTCTGAGGTTCTTGGCTACTTCCACATTCTCGGGCATGTGCTCCATTTTCATAGAGTGGGCCTTAAATTCAATCAGATGGTGGTTGGTTACTCTCAAAACAATTGTGCCACTATTGTACCAGTGTATCTTGCAGTCAGTTTACTATTGTAAGTTATAATGCTTATAGCTGGGTAATATTGATGATTACTTTTCTCCTAGGATACCATGTAGAGTGCCTTTCAGTACCATGAATACTAGTCAGTAGGAAGAAACTTCTAGTTAGTCACCAGCTTGACTTCTCTGTGTTCAACGAGATATTAAGTGTTGTCTTCAGCAATAGGCCCTTAACATCAGGTTGCAGAATAGTCTAGTGTTTGGATGTTTCCATGGGCTACTTTGACTAATAATTCAACAATATGTAACTCATTGCTAGCCCAGAAGGTTTTTTTTACTTGGAGGCATATGATGTCTATTTGAGGCATTGCTTCCCCTCATATTTGGTGATTCCATTTAGATTTCTTTCACGTGTGTGTGTGTGTGTGTGTGTGTGTGTGTGTGTGTGTGTAATAGTATTAGCAGCAGCAGTAGTAGTAGTAGGTCTCCATATGGTTTTTCAAATGCCCTTTAGTACTAGTTGTCCCTCCCCATATTCCCCATATTCATACTTTTATCCCCCTCTCTCATTCCCCATCCTATTTAATCTTCCTATTCTATCTTCCCCATTTGTCTCCCCATAACAATATATTGCATTTCCCTTTCTTTAGGAGATCCTAGTAGTTTATTAGGTACCTAACTTCTGTGTTTATTTGGATTGTATCATAAATATTAAAAGCTAACATTCACATATAAGGGCAAACATACAATATTTGCCTTTTTGGGTCGGGTTACCACACTCAGGGTGATTTTTTTTTTCTAGTTCCATCCTTTTACCTACAAATTTCATTTTTCTTAACAACTGAATAACATTCCATCTATAAATATACAACCTCTTGTTTTACCTGTTGCTGCCTCCATTTCTGCATATCTTAGACATTTTGTTATTGTTCCATAGAAACAATGCTGTTAATTTTCGTCTTAGTCACCTTTCATTATTCTTTAGGTTGAACACTTTATTTAATCTTTTCCCCTATTTGTCTATGTGTCTGTGCATACATACCCAGAAGTGACAGGCCGCTTGGCAGAAGTTAGGTCCCTCCTTGCTATCTGGAGCCCAAGGACTGGTCACAGATCATTAGACTTGGCAGGAAGTGCTGTCCCCACTGAGTCCATCTCACTGCCCCTGTAATTATTTTTAACTCATTCCTCTGTCAATGTTTATTCTGTTATACTCTGCATTGAACTTTCAGTATGAAGCATTTGCTTTTTAGGTCTACTGGTATTTTGCTAGAATTTTCATTGTATTTTCTATATTCTGCACTGGTGGGGGGTGGGGGCATCTAGGATTTCCTATTCTTTTTGATTTTGTTACTATTCTATTGTTGTGCTAAAACATCATGACCAAGACAACTTATAAAAGGAAGGGTTTATTTTAGACTTAAGGTTCCAAACAGATAAGTGTCTGTGACCACTGAGGATGGAAAAGTATGGCAGCAGGCAAGCAGACATGGCAGCATGAGTAGCTTAGAGCTCACACCTTGCACAGCAAACAGAAAGCAGAGAGAAACTACCTGCAAATGGTGTATGGCCTCTGAAACCTCAAAGCCTGTGTCCAGTACACACTAGCTCCAGCAAAGCAACATTTCTAAAGCCTCCCTAAATGCCAACAGTTGAGGACTGAGTATTTAAATGCCTGAGACTTATGTTGGGCATCTAATTCAAACCACCACACCTTCATCCACTAAACATAGTTTTAATAGCTGTTTTAAAATCTTTGTGTCCTGATATCATATATCGCTTGCCCTGGAATTGATCCTATTTGCTCATATTTTCTCTTGGGGCTGGATACACTTTACTGTTCTTGTGTACCGAGTCATTTTGGACTGTCTAAAGAACAGTGTATTGATAGAGTGAGGACTGACTTTGGTCTGCTTTTCTCCAGTGTCGTATGTTTTCAGTCAGCAGTTAGCCAGCCCAGACTAAATCTACAAAGTCTTTCAGGTGGTAGTTCAAACAGTTGTCTGTTTGGAGTGTTTGATTGATTGACTGGTTCTGGTTGTAATATGTTCTATGTATGCTTTGTTCATAAGTGGCCCAGGTAGTTGGGTAAAGAAACATAATTATCTAAAGTAGTTAAATTGGTTTGAGTATTTGTAATCTTTTTGTTTGATTAGTTAATAGAATTTCTAGAACTTATAGTTTTATTAAATCACAATAAATAATGGGGACTTGAATTATACCTTATTTTACAACTAAGTAAAAAACTTTGCTCTGTTACTTTTCTTTTTTATAGATCGAGCTGGAAGCATTAGTACTCTTGATTCTTTAGACTTTGCAAGATATTCAGATGACGGTAACAGGGAAACAGATGAAAGAGTGGCAGGTGAGTAAGACTGGAAAGATAGATTTGAATTCTTTGATGTTCCAGAAATAATAAAATGGCTTGAGGAATTATCTTCTCTCTACCAGATCGTATGTTAATATACATAGTTATTATTCAAAGTTATGTTACTATTTCTCATTTGTTAAATTGGAGATGTCCCAGCTTGCAGTTGCACTGCTGGGAGTTTTAGGGTATAAACCTACAATTTGCTGACTTTTCCTTGTAGCAAGCTAGTTAACAGCTGCTATAAAGCAGGCTTATGTTGTCAGTTGCATAGTTCAAAGGTAACTGTACCATACATAGCCTCATTCCCTTGACACTCGAAGCCAAGGCCAGCATTCACATTTGTCTATCAGTACTTTACATTTTTTTGTTCTGATTGTTAGTTTGAACTTTGACTTGAGTTCTGTGAATGCTCCATAGCTCTCAAAAAAGCTGTTTCCAGAAATTCCTGAGTTTCCTGTGAGGCCTGGTACAACAAGGTCTTTCAGGACCTTCCCATTCTAGTAGGATAACATCTTTTCTAATTGCTTAGTTATTCATACCAGTCTCCTCCCTTCCTATCCCCACCCTCTTCCTCACCATTCCTTCCGGATAGATATCAAGATATCACTCACCACTGGATCTATAGGGCTTCTGAGGACCAATTTGTCATGTACTGTATTCTGTCAGTATTTGATGCCTATAGTAAGAAATTACCAATACAGAGTCAGGTAGAAATATAAGGGTATTTAATAGGGAAAAGCCTTACTTACAGAGCGAACCAGCCAGCCGGTGGTAGTCTGTACAGCAAGAAGCAAAGAGAAACCGAAACCGAAAACGCAGTCCCCCTACTCACTCTGACCACGCCCTCACAAGCCCTCAGGTACTCTTGTAGCCAGCCCCTAAGAAGGTGTGGCTACAGCTTCCCCTACAGATGCCTATGAGAATTTCCACAGAATCTACCCTGGAATCTGCCAGTGTAGGAGCTGTGCCTCCTTGGGTGCAAGTATCTGGTTCTTCAAGGTTATGGCTTCCTGTGATTGAAGTCATTCTACTTAGTATTATAGGGATTGTTTTGTAAGACTTCGGCCAAGAGTGAGACATCGAAAGCAGGATTTAAGCCCCAATAGGATTAGATATTCCTGAAACCAAAGGGCCATAAGAGACAACAGCTGTGAGGATAGAATGACTCTGAATCTACATCTGTTATTAAAGGATTTTTCTTGCACACACTGGGACAAGTTTGTTAAAGCCTACACAGTGTTGCCTACTATTTCTTATAAGGCACTTGCTTGCTCCACTCTAAACACTGAGTACTTATCGTCTCATTGAAGCATCACCACCTACCCACAAAAGACTAAGGCCCTGGGAAAGATTGTAATAGATCTAAGTAGTAGAGCTAGGATTCAAATCCAGATAGCCTACCAATGGAGCCCACAATTAAGTGAACCATATGCTACCTCTTGATGTGAGTGAAGCATTGGGTTTGACCAAATAAAAATTCCATTCCAATATGTGGTTTCCAGTCCTTCCCTAAGACTAGAAACTTGATTTTTAAAACTCACAGTATTATAGGGGGGGGGGGGGGGGGGTGTTTTTAGTTCAACCAAAGCTAAGAGGGCTTGACAGTATAAATAGTAGTAGTATCAGTTTAATGAAGAGGTCACTGTGAGAATTTAGTGTGACCTATATTTTATAACTTCTTTGTTGTGAGTATAATTTAGCAACAGTCATCAAAATATCAAATCAGGCATAGCAGCTAACAGCTATAATCTAGCATTTGAACAGCTGAGGCTGGAGACTTGCCCCAGGTTTGAGGCTAGCCTAGGTCACACAGTGAGACCCCAACCAAAGAAAAAGAATAAGGAAAAAACCCTACAAATCACATCTGTAATATCTAACCTAGTAAATCAAAGGGAAGATTAATTGAATAAACTCAGGATTGGTTTATCCTAGTATATCATTTGTAAAGTAGCATTGTTATATAATTATATGTAATTATATTATGTAGTAAATATTAAACATTTTATGCTGTGTAGTAAATATATGGTATTTCAGGGGGTGTTATTGCTGTTGTTGTTGTTTGAGATAGTGGTTTTCATGAATCCTAGGCCAGCCTGGAACTCATTATGTACCTGGGTATGACTTCGAACTTCTGAGCCTCCTGCTTCTACCTCCCAAGTGCTAGGATTACAGTTGTATGCCACCACTACTTATGTTGTTGTACTGCAGATCAGCTCCAGGACTATAGCCTCAAACCCTGTTTAGTTTTTGAAAGAGTCAACATAACAGGCTTTATTTTTGTATAGTTACATGTTAGAAAATAACTCTTACCAACAAGTTGGCTACATGATTGTGTTCTTTAATTTCCATTTGGAGTTAGAATCCATTAGATTAGACCAGATTGAAGAGTTTCTTGTTATTTGGGTGTTTTCTGATTTCTAAGTAGCAGAAAGCATTGTCAATTAACAAGCTCTGAGCCATTTCATCTGCCTTTGTATCAGAATAGCAGTGAGAAAGTTAGTTACCTCTCCTGCATGTGCTGGCTCATGGAGCAGTGGACCTCATCCCACACACCTTTGCACAGCAAAGAGTAGAATGTGGGTCTGAAGAGTTGGCTCAGCAGTTTAGAGCACAGGTTGTGTTTCCAGAGGACCCAGGTTTCATTCCAGCATCTGTATGGCTCACATTAGTCTATATAACTCCAGTCCCAGAAGTTCTAGTGCACTCTTCTGGCCTCTACAGGCACCAGCTGTACAACAAACATTTGTGCAGGCAAAAACACCTATACACATAAATAATTTTAAAAAAATAATGTTTTGAATGTGGATATTTTGATGTTATATTTTTTTAGTCTTAGCGATATATTCTACCTGTAACTTTGGGGAGCTAATCATTTTCTTGTTACTGAACTGTGATGGCAGGCTATGAACATCTTCATCTTTCTTAGAAGAGGAACATGTTATTCTAGAAAACAGCTTTCAGTATTTATGGAACGAAGTGTGTGTGTATATGTGAGGCTTTAAGAAGTTAATCACACTCTCCAAAGATTTTTGATTCTTTGCTAATGGTTTGTAGTAACTTAAAAGTGAATCAGAAGACCAATGATTCAGGAAAAATGATAGTCCTATCTCTGTCATTGGATCATATGGAACCCTCAATAATATAGCTAACACAGCTCCTGAATCCATTGTCCTGCCAATGTGTGTTTGTTGATGTTTGTGGGGCTTTTGTTTGCATTTTTTTATTTGTTTGTTTGTTTGTGGTGGTGGGGTAGGTCTTGTGCAGCCCAGTCCAATCTTGGCTGGCTTTGAACTCCTGATCTTCCCACCTCTACCTTCCAGGTACTAGCATTGCAGATGATGCATTGTACTACTCCACATGGACAGCTGCTGATATTTACAGGGCAGATATTATATTTATTTTATTATCATCCTTCTATTAAGTTTTAAAAATCTAGTTATTTTCTCGGTCCTATAGAGTTTCTTTCATGGAGACCTGTCCACCTCTCTCCCCTCCACTCTCCAGGTATTGGACCTAGGACCTCATTCATGTGCTTTCCCATTGAGCCCTATCCCCAGGCCCTGGGATATCCCCTCTGCTCAGTGTTTATAGAAGATACTTTATGTAACATTGTTAACAGTCCTGCAAAATAAGTAATGAAATCTTTATTTTATAAATTAGTAAAATGATACTTCAGAGATTTGCCAGTAACAGGAACACAAAAGAGTTTTATTTACAAAGGCCACAATGTATTTTAGAATGAACTGTACCTCTGAAAAAGTGTTTTTTTATGGATATCAGAATTTAATCTTTCCTAAATAAAATTATTTCAACACAGTCTGTTCAAATAGGTAACTATTTGAAGCTTTTTATTGTTGGCACTTTTTCAATCAAGTATAACTTTTTTTCGCATAAAATTGATGTAAGTACCAACAGATGTCAAAGCAAAAGAACTTAATTCTGATTTTGTTAATAAGTGGCTGAAGTTTTCTTAAAGATAACATAGATTTGTTATATTCAAACTGCTGTTATTTAGCTTATTTTATGCATTTTTAACAGAGAGGTGTGAAGTAGTTTCTGCCCTGTTCTGTTGTGTTGTAAGATTGCTTTGGAATTGACAGCTATGGCTTTAATCACTTTATAACTATGGCTGGGAAATAACTCAACCTATAACGTATTTGCCTTGCAACCACAAGGAACTGAATTTTATCCCCAATATCCATTACAAAAATAAAAAAATATGGGTATGCATAGTAGCATGCACCCGTAATCACTGGGCTGAGGACGAGTCCCCTGGGGCTCTCTGGCCAGCCCACCCAACCTACTTGGAGAGTTCTAGGCCAGTGTGACACTGTATCAGAGAACAGCATAGATCACACTTGAGAAACAAGCCATGTGCACACAGTTATTCACACCTAAGAACCTGATTCACAAGGTCCATCTTTTAACGTCAGAGTTGCTGGTTTGTTCGTGTATCCCTGCAAGTGTAACTTCTATGTTCCCACTGATGAAACATGAAGGGATACAGAGCTGCTTTCTAATTTGCAGGGAAAGAGCTTCCGGAGTTCTGGAAAGAAGAGTCATTGTTGGTCAACTCAGCACATATTAATTGAACACTTAACTCTGTATTCCAAGTGTTATGCTGTTCTCTTCTAAAATCTCAGATCTTGCCTGTAGAGTCACCAGCCCCTGTCCCCTGGGTAACAAACCGTAGCATCCATGATCTTGTTCATTGGGCAATGGCTAACGCAATATCTGTATTTCACTGCCTCAGTGGCCTCTCTGTTTTGCTGAGATAAATCTGTCTGAACTAGGTTGGCCTCCATTTTTTTTCTTTTAATTAGAAACAAGATTGTTTTACATGTCAATCCCAGTTCCCTCTCCTTCCTCTCCTCCCCTATCAACCCCCCCCCAACTAAAACTCTACCTATCACATACCCTTTCTGCTCCCCAGGGAGGGTGAGGCCTTCCATAGGGGGTCATCAGAGTCTATCATATCCTTTGGGATAGGGCCTAGGCCCACCCCCTTGTGTCTTGGCTCAGGGAGTATCCCTCTATGTGGAATGGGTTCCCAAAGTCCACACCTATACTAGGGATAAGTATTGATCTACTACAGGAGGCCCCATAGATTTGATTGCAAGCATGTACTGCCATACCTAGCCAGGCACTTTTCTCTCTTTCTCTCTCTCTCCTCCCCTCTCTCTCCCTCTCTCTCTCTCTCTCTCTCTCTCTCTCTCTCTCTCTCTCTCTCTCTCTCTCTCTCTCTCTCTCTCCGGACACAGAGGGTCTCAGTAGGTATCCTTAACTGTCCTGGAACTCACTATGTAGACCAGGCTGGCCTCAAACTCACAGAGTTCCACCTGATTCTGCCTACCAAAGCCTGTGTCACCATGCCTGACAAGGAATAGTTTTAAAACCTAATCTCTCTCTCTCTCTCTCTCTCTCTCTCTCTCTCTCTCTCTCTCTCCGGACACAGAGGGTCTCAGTAGGTATCCTTAACTGTCCTGGAACTCACTATGTAGACCAGGCTGGCCTCAAACTCACAGAGTTCCACCTGATTCTGCCTACCAAAGCCTGTGTCACCATGCCTGACAAGGAATAGTTTTAAAACCTAATTTCTCTTATTCTATGTATCTCCCCTGCCCCCAGTTTAAAAAAAAAAAAAGTATGTGTGTGCATTATTTCCTATTAGCAGAACCTTTTGATTTTATTTTCTTATACTCAACCTTATGTGAATCTTATAATTTGATATCATTTAAAATTGGATTGATATTCCAACAAGGCTAGATACAGCATTCTGGAAGTAGATTTATCTGCAATTTGTTACCATGGGATTACAGTAGGATCTGAAACAGGGGGAAAAATTATTGTGTTGAGTGGCTAAGTTAAAAATAAAGGCATTGGTCGCTCAATTTTTGTGGATTTTAGATTTCCAAAGGTATATTTCATGATTGTGGTAAGTTTTGCAAACAAAAGGATGGGGCTGGGGCTCATTGATAGGAGAGTTTAGAAGGATAAGGCTTTCTGCAGAATGTTTCTATCTTTGATATTTGAGTATCTTAATATTAGAAAAAATATATATATATATGTATGTATGTATGTATAATATAATGTCACATAAGTCTGACATTTGGGCAGTTACAGAAATGATTGAGATGAATTGCCAGTTACTGAAGGATTAAAATCAGTATGATTTGGACATTAAGTGATGGGAGGAGGAAGACCACATGTAAATGATGAGTAATCTCCAAACTTCCCCTAGTTGACTTGCAAACCAACTCAGTGAATGGAGGTACCATTAATGGAGAGAGACCACTCAGGGCAGACCATGTATTGCAGTTCAGTTAGGACCAAATACAAAACTTAGGAAACATTCAAGTGGGCATATCTAGGAAATAAGGAAGTCAGTAAGATTGTATCTGGTGAAAGGGTTCCAAGATTGTGATCATCAAAGAAAGCCACAGGAATGCATGTCCTGAGTGGTTAGGTAACTTGAGAAAAGGCCCGAGGGTGATGATAGAAAAACCAACTCTAAGACAAGTGATTGAAGAACCTGAACAGGATAAACATTAATGGAAGGTATTTTTCCTTTTTTTAAAGGATGGGGAGAAAGAGCTGTTCTTCCAGCCTCTTAGAGGAATATAGAAATAGAAGTGCCTATAAATTAGTTTGAATTTTGCTCTGATATACTTATCACTAAGTTATGTTTAATGGTACAATTTGTTTGTTAAGCCCAAATTAGGCAGGGAATTCTGTAAACCCAATAGGTGATAATACTAGATTTTATTATTTTTTAAATGGATTGTAGCCAGGTGTGGTGGCACATGCCTCTAATCGCAGCACATGGAAGGCAGAAGCAATGCGATATCTATGTTTGAGGCCAACCTGGTATGCAAAGCAAGTTCCAGAATAGCTATACAGGGCTATACAGAGAAACCCTGTCTTGAAACAAAACAAAACAAAAAACAGATTTTTATTCTAATTTAAATTCTTAATCTTCTAGAACCACTCATAGAATACTATAAAGTTTTAATAAGAGTTGAGAATTGTTATTTCTGATAATGTTATATTAATGGGGAAAAGAAATCCAGAAAACTCTCACCTAAAAGAAGACAAATATACATTTTTTTCTTTGCGGGGGGATTCGAGACTGGGTTTCTCTGTGGCTTTGGAAGCTGTCCTGGAACTAGCTCTTGTGGACCAGGCTGGTCTCAAACTCACAGAGATCCAGCTGCCTCTGCCTCCTGAGTGCTGGGTTTAAAGGCGTGTACCACCACCGCCTGGTGACAAATGTAAATCTTATGTGTTGTAGAAATTAAAATTTTAAAAATATACATATTTCTAGTCTCATGTCAACATAAACTAATTTGAAAAACAATACTGGGTTGGGACCAATGGTAATTTAAGATTGTTTATACTGACTTAAATGTCTTGGTAAAGTTGTAATGCATTGTTAATATACATGAATGTTTGTAGTCATTACATGTAATCTCACTAAGATCACCTTAGCTTGGGTTGGGCAAGGAGAGTGAGCAGATTGGTGTTGGTACTTACATTTTATATAAACACACATACCCTCATACGCTTTTGATTTTAAGAACTGATTACAACTTGTTCCTGAGTATGTCTCCTTACAGGGTAATTCAGTTTGCACTTCAATCCAGTGTTTCAGGAGACAGATTAATATATGTAAAAATATTGTGTGGCATTAAGAATCTTAGCAATGGAAGGGAGAATAAAAAGTAGTGAGGGTAAAAATCAAATACTTTATATCCATTATGAAACTGCCATAGAATTAATTTTAAGAACATCTTGTAAATTTCTCCTAAATCTGTATTTGCTTGGTTATATGCTACTTTTATAGAGACGTGCTACAGCTTCAAGCTTAAAACTCTGTCTTTTAGAATCTGTGTTGTATACTAAGAAACATGCAGCAGAGTGAATTCATTTTTGAAGGCCGTCTTTTCAAAGCATTGATATCTTCTAATGGCATTTGGCAATATGTATGTAGATGTTTGTAAACTATAAATTCTTGCCGTCTGACATGGGTTTTTCTGGCTTTCTGTGCCTAATCATTTGTTTTGTTCCTGGTCACCAGTTTAATTTGAGTATTTCCCATTTTGTGTTTTAACCAGTTTTTCCCCTTTTTTTTCCTTTCCTCCCCCACTTTTCTATCATTCTGGTGTAGGGCATTTCTGATCTGCAATTGTTCTGTAATATATTTTGGACAACTTTACGTGCTATTGAAAGCATATGTGTATACTTTTACCTTATGCACAGTCTAGTTAGGTGCTTTTTTTCAAAATTTCAGAGAATTTTGAAAAAATTTTCAGAGAACAAATTTCTACATAAGTGTAATCCGTGATGTAAATAATCTTGCTTTAGCATAACTTAAGAAGGAGTTTCAAGAAATTGCAGTTGAGGGGAAATGTCTTGGCTTTGCTGCACAGCAGTGGTTGCAGATCAGCTTTGCTGACTACCAACGGCACATAGTGACTCGGTGCCCTTCTAGTGCTTTCGTTGCTGCTGCAGTTAAGCTCTGTGCATCAAAATAAATGGCCATCATAGCTGTGACTCAACTACATCTTAAGTTTTTATTGAACACATGCAAACTGAGTGAATCCCAATTTTTCCATATATTTTTCTAGCTTTTTATTTCTGATGCCATTTCATCTTTTTTTTTCTACCAGTCAATCATGGCAAAGTTGCATTTCTTAAGATGAAAATTAAATTGTCTAGTTTTTGTTCAAAATAGTAATTACCATTTGTGACAAAGTTCAATTAATTTTCCCAGAGTGTTAATTAACAGAAGTAACATTTTCTTTCAAATTTAAGCTTACTATTTCTTAAGCACAATACCTATAAATTTAGAAAACTTCACAGTTAATACATATGCAATTCAATCTTGCTGGAGATAAATGTCCAAAGTTTAATAAGAAGTGTTCCCAGGATCCATGTTACTTTACAGACTATATGATAGTAGGAGAAACCTTTAAATTTTAGTAATCCCTCTTAACAGAAAATAATCTATTTGAAGACTTATAAAAATCCTTTTAAATTCTTCCTAATTTTATTTAGTACCCTTAGATAATCATGCACAACTATTTTAGAAGTGATTGGTGTTATGTAATCGTTTGCTTTAGGAGTAAATCATTTCTATGCTTTAGTTTAATGGGAACTGAACTAAAACCTTTAAACCTTTTTTTTTTTTTTTTTTTTTAATTTTTCTAGACAGAATTTCTCTGTGTAACAGCCCTGGCTGTCCTGGAACTCAATTTGTAGACCAGGCTGGCCTCAAACTCATAGAAGTCTGCCTGCCTCTGTCTCATGAGTGCTAACGGCATGTGCCACCACCACCCAGCCTTTTAGTCCTTTTTTATGTGTGTCTTTAACCTATCTGCTTGTTTCTAGAAAACACACTTTCTTGTAGGAAAATATATAAGCTTACAACACTTGTTGCATATTGAAACTGTACCTTTCAACTTAAGAGGTCTAGCCATTAATGTTTCTGTAGTCACAGCATTCTAATCAGTACATTTCAAATAACTTAAAACTCTGAGGGGGGTGGTTTTTTTTATAAGAATATTTGCTTATTTTTCATGTAATTTTTACCTACCCTCCCTCCAAATTATGTTAACCAAAAACAATTCATTATATTTTCTTAACCAGGTTGACTAAAACAAGAAGTGCCCAGATTATTAAATTTTTAATTACCTAAATAAAAGTAGGTCACAGATTGTTTTTTTAACAGCTCTATTCCTTGTCAGACAGCTAGAACATACACCCCTATTTCTGCTAAAGCTATGGAAAGCGATCACCAGTTTGCTTGCAAATCAACTCTGCTGCATGCGTTCATAAGTTTCATAAAAATTGCATGCTTTCTGTTTTCAATACAAATTGTGTTTTTTTTCATACCCATCTTTGCTTTTTATTTTTTTATTTTTGTTTCCCTTTTCTTGGTTGGATGCCTGTGTGTGTTTAATCCAAATCCCTGTCCAGTCCTGGAGTTTGAACTACGGAAAGCCAAGGAGACCATTCAGGCCCTCCGAGCCAACCTAACAAAGGCTGCAGGTGGTGTACATAAAACTTTTTGAGCCTTTTCCCACTTTTACAATGTAGAAGTAGCTGGACTATTTTTATGTGTAAAATAGTAAAACATTATCTTATTTTATCCCACCAGAACATGAAGTTCCTTTACAGGAACGAAAAAATTACAAATCAAGTCCTGAAATTCAGGTGGGTGAAAGACACCAGTTATCTCCCATATAGTCCAAGTGCCAAAGAAGCAGAGCTCATATGTCTTTTGTTTTGCTTCCAGGAGCCAATCAAACCTCTTGAAAAGAGAGCTCTCAACTTCCTAGTCAATGAGTTTTTGTTGAAGAATAACTACAAGCTTACTTCAATAACCTTTTCAGATGAAAATGATGATCAGGTAAAGTTACTGTTCTGATATGTCTACTTTTAATTTACTTTGTCTCTCAGCTTAATTATTAGCAGTTATTCCTACAGTAAGATTCCATGTGGGTCGTTTCTAAGAGCAAAGCAGGTACTTCTCAGTTTAGTATTTCCATGGCTCACAGACCTTTTCTGTTTTGTAAGTTTTCTAAATAAGGATATATCTTTCTTCCCAGGTAGATTTTTACAGCTTGACAGTAACTATATATCTCCATCCTATTTGTGTACATTCGTAAAGTGTGTTTTAAAACTGAATATTTACTTGGTCCTATAGAGCAATGCAGACTTAGAAATTGAGTTTGACTATAAAACTTCTTGAGTAGCACTGTAATTCAGATGTTCAGTAGCATGGTTAGAAATGTTTTGAATGACAATATATGATGTATGTATATGTGTGTATAATTGGTTCTCTGAATGGGACCTTGCAGAAGTAAATGAGAGAGATTTTATTATGAGGAAAGCAGAAGGCTGTTCTTTTTATCTTTGTTCTTTCATTTACTTTGTGGTGCTCAGCAGACACCCTACCTCTGAAGCTCCACCCTTCCCTCAGAAGCAGTTTTGTTAAATGAAGGTTATTCCTTTGATTCATAAAATCTCCTGTGGATATTTTTATAGAAATAGATGTTTTCTAAAGGACATAGCAGTCTATTTACTTCTTCAGTTATCACATGTTTGTCAAGACTTAAATGTAATACAACTAATTGTGTATCACTTATTAGGACACTTTCTGAGAACCACAGTGAAATTTATCATCATAGATTATATTTACACAGACTTAGCAAGGTGCTATAATTCTACAGGAATTCATTCCTATATGAAGTCTGTCATTGAATTTGATGCAGTGTGTAGCTTATGGCTATAAATATTAGTTACCACATGGTAGCTTTACTGAGCTTACACTCTATAAAAGATATTAAATATTTACCAAACATGATTACTGTGGTCATAATTTATTAATCATGTTTTTATCATTAATTAACAGTGAATAGTAAATATTTACAATGTGAGAAATGTTGAAAAGTGAAAAGGAAGGTTGAAATGGGGAAAGAAGGATAAACAACAGGAAGGACAGGTCAAACAGTATAATGGTCTCTTTAAGTCTAGATGTGTCAATTCCAACTCTTAACTCTACTCAGTTAAGAGTCAGAAAGTATCAGCAATATCAGCAGTTCTTCCTCAATAATTGACAAGAAAATAGCTTAGGATATAGAAGATAGATCTGTTTTCCTTCATCAATTAAGATTTGACATTAATTAAAATGGAAGTGGCCAGATTAAAATAGTGTAGCCAAAGCAACATTGATAAAGAACAAGGAAGACTTTAATCACTGGCCTTCTAGACTTAAAAGATAAGATATTCATGGCGTATTGTGTTGTTATGTAGACAAGTAGACCGAGGAACTATTCCAGGTAGATGTGCATGGGGTCTATTGATTTCACACAAGTGCAAAGTTTATGCCATACAGGGAGGGCAGTCTTCTTACAAATGGTAGTAGAAAAACATGGTGTCCATGAACCGCATAAGTGGGATTGAAACCACAATCTATGAAATTTAATTCAAAATGGATCAGAGTTTAATATGAACCTGTAAGGCTTATATAGGTATATTAAAAGGGGTGAATCATTACAATTTTGAGAAATAGATAAGATTTCTTAGATATGACACCAAAATCATGGTGTTCTTCAAATGTACTCATTAAAATAATTTTTCTATTTTTAAAAGACTTTTTGCTGGTGAGATTGCTTAGCCGATAAAAGTGTTTGCCACACAGTTCTGGCAACCTAAGTTTGATCCCCAAAACCCACATAAAAATGGAAGGAAGAACCATCTCCTTTGACCTCCATAATTGAGCCATGGCATACATGCTCAATCACACTCATTATGGACACACAATAATAATAATAATAATAATAATAATAATAATAATAATAATAATAATAATAAATTATTAAAGCCATTCTTGAGGCTGGATGGGTAGCTCAACAGGTAAGAGCTTCTTTCTTGTTCTTCCAGAGGACCCAAGTTGGACAATTCATACCCACCTTAAATCCAACTCCCTACCCTGGCCTCTGTGGGCACACACAGACATTTAACCTGTATCCAAGCACAGATTTATACACATAAATATAAATAAAACAATTCTGTTTTTAAAACCACTGTTGAGTGAGAAGGCAAACCATGGGTAGGGTGAAAATACTCAAAAGTCAACAAAGGAAATTTGTTAGAACTCTGTAAACTCTTTTAATAAGAAATAAACAGAACTTTTTAAAACACAAGCAAAAGAATTATATGCATCACTGAAAAGGGTACCTACATAGAAATGAACTTGTGAAAGATACTCAGCTCCTTTTCCTTCAAAGATACACATACAATACATTGAGATGCCATACACTTAGGATGGCCATGACTGAGACTCAATAGGCTGGGCATGAGTTAGGCAGATTGCAATAAAGTGATGTGTGCAATATTCATTTAACAATTTATATAAGCTAAGAATGATTTATTTCTTATAAGCCAGCATCATGAGATCTTTAAAAATATTTAGCTAATTCTTTAAAAAAGTCCTAAGAGTTACTGAATATTATACCCATTTTACAGGTGGCCCTTTTAACCTAAATTAACCAATAACTATAAGCAGAGATTAGGAATATTGTATTTAGGTTTTCTCCAAACTCCACTTTCAGTGCTCATATTAACTTCATATTTAATTTTCAATTATAATTTTCCATTATTTAAGTAAGCCATCAAAAGATTAAAGTGTCATGTTTAGACTATTAACATGACTATTCTAAAGTTTTTCAGAGTCTTATTAACAAATTATAATACGGTAGCGACTTTAGTAAAAGTCCTTTCTTTTAGCACTAGACAGAATGGTTAAGAAGGAAGGAAAGAAAGAAAGAAAGAAAGAAAGAAAGAAAGAAAGAAAGGAAGGAAGGAAGGAAGGAAGGAAGGAAGGAAGAACATCTATCTATTGTTTATTACTATGTAATTGCATAATCCCATCCAAAAATCTTTGCCATAAAATACTCAAGATGCTGTACCTCTCTGTGATTTTTATGAAGTTGAATTATTCTGAAATAAAAAGAATGTTTCAAAACAACAAATTTACAGGTAGCTATTTGGATTCTTTAAATTGCCAGAAGCATTTTTTTTACAAATTCAAGTTAGATTTAAGTGGCTATGGCAAGATCAGCAGGTTAAGCTGCTTATTAATTCATTAGAGAATGTGTTGACTACATGTAGTGTGGGATGATAGAAGAACAATGCCATCAGTCAGTTTACTTCTAGTTTGTAAGTATGTTGGTGGACTAAGCACTTAGACGTTTCTTGCTCCAGTGCTAGTGAGGGACTTCATGCAAAGTGCAATATCTTTTCATCTAACACAATTAAACAGAAAGCATTAAATTAAATGGTAAGAAGAATAATTACGTAATGAAATAATGCTTAAAATATACACTTTGGGTTTTTTGTTTTGTTTTGATGTTGCTTTCTAGTTTTTTGGTTTTTTGTTTTTGGGTTGTTTTGTTTTGTTTTGTTTTTGTTTTTGTTTTTTTGTTTTTGAGACATGGTCTCACTATTTAGCCCTGAGCAACCTGGAACTCAGTATACAGGCTGGCCTCAAACTTACAGAGATCTATTTGCCTCTCCCTGGTGCTGGGATTAAAGGTATGCACCATCATGCCCAACACATTTAGACATTATAATACAATATTATCTTTGGTTTTCCAGAGTAGCAATATTTGACTCAAAATACAAGATAAAAGGGTTATCTTAATGGGTTTTGTTAAAATTACGTTTATTCTGTTTAAATTACATTATTTTATGTGGGTGCCAGGAATTGAAGTCATCAAATTGGACAGCAAGTGCCCTTACCCACTAAGCCACCACACCAGCTTCTCAAAGTATTTTTTGAAATGTTTTTGTTTTCATTAGGATTTTGAATTATGGGATGATGTAGGATTAAACATTCCCAAACCTCCAGACTTGTTACAACTTTACCGAGATTTTGGAAATCATCAAGTGACTGGAAAAGATCTTGTGGATGTGGCCAGTGGAGTAGATGAAGATGAATTAGAGGCTCTTACACCAGTTTTAGGCAGCGTCCCTCGAACAACCGATACTCCCCAGCCTCTAGAGGTGAGAAATACCAACTGACTACCCATGCCCACAAAAATTGTTTATGTAAAAATGCTACTATGAGATCTTGAGTTTCTGCTTTTTTTTTCCTGCTTTGATTTTTAGAACTCCTTGCTAGTACAGAAATTAGAAGATAAAATTAGTTTATTAAATAAAGAAAAATGGTCATTGATGGAACAAATCAGAAGACTTGAAAGGTTAGTACCTAGATGTTATTTCTAAAAGTCCTAAAATTTGTATTGACATTGGCAGGTATATAGATACATGAATCAGGGTTTCAATAGTAAGGCATAATGGTTTCACATAGCTGTTACTAAATAAAATGTCTCCTTACCAGTAAACTAGATTGATGTAGTGATCTTATAGTTTATGTCTTATATCTAAAATGTTAGATATTTTAATTTCATCTGAGTCTTGTCGTTTTCAGTAAAATCACTCCATATTAGTGGCATTCATACTAACCATTCATTATTTCATTTATAATACTAAGTTGGGTTTGATGGGATGGTCTCTGTGTTTCATATGGAGATTTCTCAAGAGCAAACTTTGGGGCCATTGTTTCTCCTCCTGGTTGACAGTTTGCAGCTATGCTTTTTAAGACTATGAAGCACCGGTGACTGTTACATAGAAGAGCTTGGTCATCCCACAAGTAATTAATAGGCTTTTAATATGTTCTGCTTATATTAACCCCCTTTTCTGGGAGTGGATATTGTTGTCAAACCTTTCAAAACTGAAATTATTCTCCTGGAATTTTCTTTGTTCAGTGAGATGGACATCCTCAAAACTGAGCACTTTACCAACCCAGCAGTTGGTGATTCTGTTCAGCCTTCCCAAAAAGATTCCGAAGACAGTAGACGGAGCCTAATTGTAAATAGTTCAGACCAGGAAACAAACAAGGATGGTCATCTTGAAACACTAGGTGGAGCTGATTCCTCGACTCCTAAAGAGAATTCCACAGGTTCTTTCCCCAGGAAGGAAAGAGAAGAAATGCCACCTTCTATATCAAGCAAAACCATGGTCCATTTTGATCAACCCAATAGGTTAGTGTGACGCCATGCTTTGAAACATGTTTTTCATTATTTGTGCTTATAGGGCTAGAAGAACTTCAGTTCATATTTGAATGCCTTTTGCAGAGTTACAATTTCTTATATTTGATATGACTTAGCACATAGGCAGAATGTGTGTCACAAGGTGGGAAAAATTATTATTAAATTATGTCAAAGAGAATACCATAAATTGACAAGTTCTGTCCTCACTAAGTGCATAAGACCTATATAACCCCTAGTAAATAATATAATAACTAATAAACAACTTTGTGCTCTTGGTCTTCCCCTCCATGCCTCTTACCTTTCTTCTGTTATCAAGCTCAGATATTAGTGCTACATAGTTGCCTGTGCTGTGACAAAGCAATACAAAATAGTTTTGTTCCCATTCCTTTTTCTATATCTGCTCTCATTACTAAAGGATGTCATTAATGTTCTCTTAATTCATTTCATTTTTCCTGGATTGCAATATTTGAAAATTTTTAGATATTTTCAGTTGTAACTTTAAAAAAAAAATTTAAGAAGGGACTATTTACTAATTTTTTCATTTCATGCATATGTGCTTAGTGTATAATAACTCATTTAATCTTATAATGCACTTTTGGCTACAATATTCTTGTTAGAGAAGCAAGTACAGTATTTCCAACATTAGGGTAAAATTTTTAAAGCAAGACTAATTTTCGTTAGACTTACAGGTCCTCATTATTACTGAGAAATACTGGATTTGTGTTAGAAAATTTCCCATTCATGAGTGACAACCTTCTGTACTTGTTATATATAATTATCTTTGCGTATATGGAACTCACAGAATTGGAATAAGATGTGCAATCCTTGAGGTGTATTTGTTCTAACATGGATGACATAAAAGCATGGAAATGTATATTGTGGTGCTCAGTAGTAGGAGCACATGTGAAGTCCTCCCATATAAGAGCGTCCGTGTAGCTCTTTTATCCTCTGAAGGTAGATGCTGTTATATTCACTCAATACCTGTGTTCCAGGCAGTGCTACTAAGAATACATTGGTAAGTGAGACACACTGTAATTCTCTCATATACAAACATTGTGGTATGAGAGAGAGTGAAGCAATTAAACTAAAGTATGAAAAATACATAATGAGTCTTGCTTTGGGAACATGTAATTATAACACGCAGCTAGTTATCAAACAGAAAGGTTTCATTGAAGAAATGTCATCAAATCTAAGATGTTGAAGAAGTAAGAGCTAACTAGGTAAAGAAAGCAAAGGCTGAGTGGGTAAAGAACATTAGGAATGAAAGTGAAAGGAACAGAATTACAAGATGCATAAAAAAATGGAAGGTTTGTTGGATTTGAAGTAAAGAGAAAGGAATGAATCCAATGAGGGTAAGAGAAAGAACTTGTTTGTGGTTTCTAGCTTGAACAAGAAAATAGATTGTGGCCCTATCCATTTAGAGTATGGGCAATGCCTAAAAGAGTTAAGGGTCCAAGCCTTGGCACATCTCTCTAACTCTGCAATCATGAAAATTAGTGAGTACAACTTGGTGTGTATGCTTTTGGTGAGATTTGTCTTTGTAAATGGAGCACACAAGCAGCTCATAGTCAACTTTATGAGTACTGTTACACAGACACAATGTTTTAGAAGTCAAGATAGGCTTGACCTTTATTATTAAACATAAAAATAAGTTGGTATTTCCTATTGTTCCTCCAATGTTTTTCTCTTAAATTATGTCAGGTATGTCAGTGAACTTTCCCTTCTCTTACAGTTTTTCTACAGGTTAAATTGAATCATTATATATTGGCACCACTGCAGTGCCTTTCCAGCTTTGTTTCTTGTTCAACCTTTGTCACTCTTTCTGAAGACATAGAAAATGGAGATGGATACTCCATTTTAGAGTTTGGAAATATTTCCTATAATTATTGATTGCTGTATCACTTAGTCTTTAATCCAATAACATATTAGGGACATTCATCTTTATGGCATCAGGCTATTTGCGATGTGTAGTATTCTTCTCTTGTATGATTCTCTTCCATCAAGTCTGGTGGCTGAGAAATTTGGAGAGCATTTGTGGGGTAGGATTAGTATGGGGATATGGGTTTCCATATGCAGATATGCAGATATGCAACTTACTTCTTGAGTCCTATCCTTTCTCCACTATTTTCTTGCAGAAAATTGTCGCCAGCTTTCCACCAAGCACTACTCTCTTTTTGTCGAATGTCTGCAGATAGTCGTTTAGGATCAGAGGTGAGTTTATATCACAGCTTCCACAAAACATCTCTACTGTTTTATGGGTGATTGCTTTTTTATAGGGTTGGGTTTCATACAAAAAAAAAATCTATTATTTAAAAATAATTCTTTAAGAAATAGTACCTGAAATTTTAAATTGTAAGGAAGGCAGTTGAATATGGGTTCACTTTCAGTCTAGCAAACTTCATTATAAAGTCAGGGCAGCTTTCTTGGGCCTTTCCTGATGGAGTTCACTATACAAGCTATTGCCCATTTAGGGATTTTTTTTTTTTTTTTTTTTTTAAGGAAAAGAGCAAACAAACCAGTAGCCATTGAAGAGGCCCCATTTCTGGGCTATCCCTTCTTCTCAGAACTGAAAAATAGCAGGCCTCCCAACTCTCATCACTGCTTTTGTTTTAATTGACATTTTATCTTTTAAATAAATATTTCATTTTCCTGGCATGTAGAATTATACGTGTTTAGATGCATCAATGTACAAGGATCCATTGAATCAGGATGACTGGTATCCGTCATTTCAGATATCAAATTTGTGTATTGGACACTTTCAAAATCATAAATCCTCTGTATGAGCTAATTTGTAATGTTCAATTCATTGTTGACCACCATGGTTATCCTACTGTGCTATATACCTAGCTGCTAGGATAGATAACTTTTTGTGTTGCCCTTCTTAGCACCTAGGGCTGTAGCTTAGTATAGAAGCGCTTGCTTAGAGTGTGTTTATTCCAGCATCATAAACATTAAATAAATAAAGCATTCCTCATACCTCACTCTATTGCTTTTACTAGCATATTTATCCCATGACAGCCCCACAGAAATGATGTGTTATTATTAGTATGAGTTATAATGCTGGAGTATGTGCTTAAATCAGAAGCGACAAAATTCACAGTATAAATGTTTATGCACAGAAGTCATCCACAATCATCATTTAACTGGTTTTTCTAGGTGTCTAGGATTGCAGACAGTGAAAAAAGTGTTATGTTAATGCTGGGACGATGCCTGCCACACATTGTTCCTAATGTACTGTTGGCAAAAAGAGAGGTAAGACACATAAAACTATTTTCATCCCAGTAGTCCCATCATGTGGTCCATTTTTGTCATTTTGAAGTTTAGTGTTATATTTTTATTTTGTTAAGTCTGTTACTTGCAATCATATTCTTACTTTTGTGCATGCGTCTCTGCTCCTAGAGAATGGTTTTACACCTCTGTCAGGTGAGTTCAGTAAAACTGCATGGTATCCATGGTTTCCAGTTTTGCTTACAGCATTATTATTAGCTTTCGCAGTGCTATTACTGTAGGTCCATTTAGGTGTCGTGAATGCTGTCATCTTCAGTAACCAAACACTAATTGATATTTTTTGTGTTCTTTTGATGATGTCTTCAATATGTCTACATACTGATTGAAAATTAACAGACTAATACATAGTAATGTAGTATTTTCCCCGAATGCATTTGTAAATGCTTGTTAGAAATGTTAGCTTTATTATGTTTGACAATAAATTCTTACAATGATATGATAGTTATGATAGTCACTATAATAACCATTTAAGGTTCCTTAAGTTTTATGTTTGCATTCTTGACAGATGTTTTAACCATCCTAGATAAAGGTACAAGTAAATTTTAGTACATGTGACTTAGACCATTAACCAGGAACACATTAGGAAGTTATCCTTATAGTAATAAATTATTATCACATATATATTTAACCAATAAAAGATAAAAATGTATACATTTTTACCATTATCATGTTAATGTTTATCACTGATTTTATTCATGGGACCTACAGTATGATAGGTACATAATGCATTGGCAAAACCCATTTAAACCTGACCTTAGTTATCTATGTAAGCAAAAGAAATTCGTACTGATCCTCAAGAAAGGATATGTAGAGCTTTGAAAGTTTTTATTCCTATAGTGTTTTTAATTTAAAAAATGACTTAAATTTTTTCATTCCTATAGATGTTTTAATTTTTACAAGCTTAGAAAATATTCTTGCTGATGGCTTTATTTGTATCTATTTAAAATGATTGTAAGATAATAATGTATATGGAAGTTTTCTAGATCTTGAAGGATCAGTGTCCAATTTCACAATTGTTTTGCGGTTCTGCCTGGCAGGATGTTGTTTGAGCTTTTCTTTTTCTTTCTCGGCTTGTATTACCCATGCTATGAATTACTGTTTGCATCCCACTTACTGTCCTTCCTAAATCAATATAATCTTTAAGTGTTACCAAACCTGACTTTCATAAAATTAGTTTTGTCTTCTTTTCATATTAGCATAAAACACTTCTATAACTAAAATCTGATTGTGCTGCATGAAGTATTTATAGTTTTGCATCATCAATAATCAGATACTCTGTGTGTGTACACACACATGTATACTTTTTTTGGCTGATTTTAAATTTTTATGTTTGAAAACTATTGAATGTTCTTAAAGGTTCATGAAGAACTGACCCTTTCCTCTATTAACTTCTTTTTATCTTATTTTATTCAATTAATTAAAGTTGTATTCTTTCAAAATTAAATTGGTAAATAATAAAGTATATTAGCTTGATCTAAAACAAATCCCTAGGTACAAAAGGACAAAACCTTTGAGCATATGCTGTGAGGCTCTGAGTTCAATCCCTAGTGCCACCAGAGGGAGAAAAGAAGCAAAACTTGTATTAATATATCACTGACATTTGATTTATTTTTAATATTTCACCTATTTAAGTCTGTGTTTTTAAAGAGCTCTTGTGGCTGGGTGTTGGTGGCACATGCCTTTAATCCCAGCACTCAGGAGGCAGAGGCAGGCAGATCTCTGTGAGTTCGAGACCAGCCTGGTCTACAAGAGCTAGTTCCAGGACAGCCTCCAAAGCCACAGAGAAACCCTGTCTCGAAAAAACTAAAAAATAAAATAAAATAAAATAAAGAGCTCTTGTGATTAAAGGATTGGCATTTGAGGCTTGTTTTATTTCTCAAGTTTTATGTGCTTTTTTTCAGCAAAAGCATAGTTAAAAAGTTTAGTCAACTGAAGATCATAATAATTTCCTAGCTGATTACATAGCATATTAGAAACAGGGCTTAAGACTTGTTTTAGTAAGTGTACGTGTTACAGCTCTAAGGGGAAACACTTCCCCAATGCAAGTATTACATCTCTAAAGGGAAAGATATCCTGGCAGTCAAGAGCCAAGAAATACCACAAAGTCACATGTCACAGAAAACATTTATTAGGAGAGACACAAGAGGTCTCTCTTGGGTGAGAAGCAACAGACTTGAGCAGGAGGTGGGCTTTATATAAGGTTCCTTGGAGATGGACTGCAGGGATTTTGCAGCCTGATCTTAGGCTTTTTTTTTTTTTTTCCTGTAGGGCGTGCCTTAGCCACTCCCATCTCAGAGGGTTGGCATTATGGCCCAAGTCTGGGGGGTTGGGGCTAGCCACTCATGTGCTTTGAAGCAATACATTAACTTGGATTAACTTTTATAAAATAGAAAAAGATAGACAACACAAACCCTTTTCTACATCCCACTTATAATTTTACTAACTTCTAATGTATTTTTCCAAGTCCTTTGACCATTTTTAATTGGACTGTCTTCATATGTTTTAGCTGTAAGAGTAGAGGTTCATATATTCTGGATATGAAACCCTTATCACATACAGCTTGCAATCATTTTATAGTTAGCTCTTATACTGATTATTGAGCTGACGTGTTTTGCCTATTGAAGGCCTTTCCACTTCTGTTGACAATCCACTAATATAGATTGTTTGGGCCTGAAAATCTCAGTTCTATTCCATTGGACTGTATATGCTATTCTTATCCTTAAGCCACTCCTTAAGTGCTTTTTTTTTTTTTTGCTCTAGTTTTTAATAAGTTTAAATAATTGGGACATCTGAGTCTTCCAACTTTACCTGTTTAAGTATCACTTGGTTATTTAGGAACCCTTGCACTTACATAGATTTACTGCTCAACTTCCTTTTCTGCAAAAACAGGTCATGGAGGTTTTAAAAGATGGAATCTTCTCATGACTTAGGAAGCATTGCCATCCTACCAACATGGGTGTGTCATTTTTTTTTCTTTTTGTGATGGGGGCGGGGCTGGTTTCTCTGTGTAGCACTGGCTGTTCTGAAACTTAGTAGATGAAGCCGCCTTGCACTCAGAGATCCATCTGCATCAGCCTCCCAAGTGCTGAGATTAAAGGCATGCACCACCACACTCACCTTATGTCATGGCTTCATTTCTTCACTCCTGTGGAGAGATAGGAAGTAGAGACAGGAAAATTCCCAGAAACTGATGGCTCTCACACAACAGTGAGTAAATGAGAACCTGTCTCATGGGTGATAACCAACACCAGAGGTTGTCCTTTGACTTCCACACTTACTGCTATGGCAAGTACACAACACACACACACACACACATACAGTAGGGAAGGAGAGATTGGGGGCTGAGGAGTGACTCAGTTGACAGGAAAGTAGGAGGATCAGAGTTTGGATCTCCAGTACCGACATAAATATTGGCTGGGCTGGCAGCTCAACTATAATTCAAGCCTTGAAAGGCAGAGACATGTGACAACAACAGAATCCCTGAAGCAAGCTAGCTAGCAAAAGTGGCCATATTATCAAACTGTGAGTTTGATTGTGAGACTCTACTCCAAAGAATAAGGTAGAAGAGCAATTCAGGAAGATACCATACATCAACTTTAGGTCACACACACACACCATATACATACACATGAAATGAAAATGGGGGGGACGTTGCAAAATATGGATCTGTTAAAAAAAAGTCCTTAAATGTCTAGAAATGACATCTTATGTGTTACTGTGTAACTTTCGATACATTTAAATTAAAATTCACAAAGACATTTTTCTAAGTGTCACCTTGTCTACTTAGAAAATTTAGCTTAGATATAACAGTCAGAATTACAATGAAAGTTTTTAAAGGACTAGAGTTATTGAATTAGAGGGATGATGCCAACAGAGAATATTGATCAATTTGTGAATGGATGTGTAATGAGTATATTGATGAACACTAATCTCCAGGCATGAATATGTTAGTGCTTCAGAGACTTGGAGGTGAATAAATATCAGAATAACCTAGCTTAACAGGTCAGATTCCAGTATCAATCTGTGCCAGCCGTTTTTGTGACCAGACCACTCCTGTTTTTATCATTGTCTCTGTCAGCACTGTGTCTGAGGAAGAGGCTATCTTGAAGGCTTTCCTTACAGAGTTTACATGTTGCAACCATTAATGTATCAAAGGTGTATCCAATTACCTTGGCATGGAGCATCAACCAAAAAATTAGTATCACTGACTTCCCATATACTGCAAATGTTGCTAGCAGGAAATTAAGTTAGATAGCAATAGAAATTACTAACAGCTATCATTTTAGGAAGCAAAAACAGAGTTTTGTTGTTTTTTCTCTTCAAACTTCAAGTATCGTAATTGTTAGAATAAAGGGACCCAAACTTAGTTGCTTTACTTCTCGTGTTCCAGTTTGGATTGTTTAATAATACTACTATGTTGAGATGCTTTTTAAAAGACATCTTTTATTTCATGAGATCAGTGTTTCCTCAGTGAATACCTTTTTAAAGGTATGTTTAAAAAAAAAAAATACCTTGTCATCTCTGCTTGAGATAGCAGAAAGAAATCTTTACCTTTGGTTAGTACAGAGAAGTAAACAAAGGCAGGGACTCTGGTAGTTCTGTGGCAGTGTTCCCAGTTAATGCATTCCTTAACCTTGAGAGATGAAAGCTTTTTTATACTATATGATGAGCTTTTCCTTTGGTTAAGAATGCTAACCCTCACAATAAAGGAAACACGGAGGAAGTGTTACAAAGCTTAAAGAAGAAATAGCAAGACTTTTTTTGTGCTACATTTTATAATTAAAAAAAAACTTAAAGACCAAAGATTATATTCTTTATTTTAAATTCTGTTTCTATCTTTGCAAGTATGGAAAGTATCTTTCCTTCATTTGATAATTTTAAAGTTATAAATTAAGGAAAGAATACAAAAAAATAGTATCGGAAGTATACCTGTAGAAATAGGAGGTGCAAGAAAGCATCGAGGAAGCAAAAGATAGGAACTGAAAGAAATTATAGTCAAACCTGGGAGTCTTTCTTCGTTTCAGAAGTTATTTCTTCTGTTAGTACTTCTGGGAGAATTTCTAACATACAGTTCTAGTAGGGGGCCTCCTAACGTTAAAACTTGTAACTTCTCTTGTTGATTCCATTGACTCAGCAGGCTGAACAGAATCAGCTAAAAATTAAATTAATATTCTTGAATTAATACTAATTCTTTATAAGAATCTTGGTATTAGTAGTCTTCTACCCTCATGTCACTAAATTTCCAAATCAGACTAAATACTTATTTTATGAGAGTTCTCCAATAAAGTCTTAGTAATCCATCAAGCATCATATTAGCATCTGTCTTAAGAGTTTCTATTGCTGTGAAGAGACATCATAACCATGGCAACCTTTTTTTTTAATGACTTTATTTATGTGTTTGTTAATTTGTTTTTATACCCAATCACAGTTTCCCTTCTCTCCTGTCTTCCTCATCCCTCCCCTCAACCTTCCCTCTGCCCACCCCCATCCACTCCTCCTCTGTTTCTATTCACAAAAGGTCAGGCCTCCCATGGAGATTGACAAAACATGATATATCAAGTTGTAGTAAGACTAAGCACCTCACCTTGTATTAATTAGGGCTGGGCAAAGGAACCCAGTATGAGGAATAGGGTCCCAAAAGCTGATAAAGAAGTCAGAGACAGCCCCTGCTCCCACTGTTAGGAGTCCCACAAGTAGACTGTATAGCCTAGGACAGTCCCATGAAGGTTCCTTGGGCCCATCCATTTGCCTTTGAATTGCATGATGCCATTGTTTTTAACAGCTGAGTAATACTTCATTATGTAAATGTATCATATTTTCTTCATCCTTTCTTCAGTTGAGGGGCTTCTATGTTGTTTCCAGGTTCTGGTTATTACAAATAAAGCTGCTGTGAAGATAGTTCAGCAAGTGTCCTTATGGTATGATTAAGAATTCTTTGGGTATATGCCCAAGAGTGGTATAACTGGGTCATGAGGTAGATCAATTCCAAGTTTTCTGAGAAACTGCCATATTGATTTCCAAAGTAGCTGTACAAGTTTGCACAACCACCAGCAATGGAGGGGAGTGTTCCCTTTGGTCCACATCTTTTCCAACATGAGTAGTTTCTTGTGTTTCTGATCTTAGCCCATTCTGACAGCTATAAAGTAGAACCTCAGAGTCATTTGATTTGCATTTCTGTGATGGCTAAGGATGTTGAACGTATCTTTAAGTGTATCTAAACCATTTGAGATTCCTCTGTTGAAAATTTCTCTGTTTAGATCTGTATCCCATTTTTAATTAGATTATTTGGATTTTTGATGTCTAGTTTCTTGAGTTGTTTTTTTAATATATATTGGAGATCAACCCTCTGTCACATGTGGGATTGGCAGAGATCTTTTCCCATTCTGTAGACTGCCCTTTTGTTATTGATGTGTCCTTTGCATTACAGAAGCTTATCCATTTCATGGCATCCATTTATTGTTGATCTGCATTACTGGTGTTCTATTCAGGAAGTTGTCTCCCCTACCAATGCATTTTAAACTGTTTCCCACTTTCTTTTCTATGAGGATTTATGTTGAGGTTTTTGATCCACTTGGACTTGAGTTTTTTGTAGGGTAATAGATATGAATTTATTTGTATTCTTCTACATGCCAACCACCCAGTTATACTAGCACCATTTGTTGAAGATGCTTCCTTTCTTGCATTGTATAATTTTGGTTTCTTTGTCAAAAATCACGTGTCCATAGGTGTGTGGATTTACTACTGAGTCTTTAATTCAGTTCCATTGGTCTACCTGTCTGTTTCTATGCCAAAATCATGCTGTTTTTATTACTTTTTCCCTGTAGTAGAGCTTGATATCATGGATGGTGATAGCTCCAGAACTTCTTTTATTATACAGTATTGTTTTAACTGTCCTGGGTTTTTTGTTTTTCCACATGAAGTTGAGTATTATTCTTTCAAGGTCTGTAAAGAATTGTGTTGGGATTTTAATGGTAATTGTGTTGAAATATGTAGACTGCTTTTGGGAAGATGATCATTTTTACATGGCAACTTTTATAAAGGAAAACATTTAATTGGTGCTAGCTTATAGTTTCATAGGCTTAGACCGTTATCTTGGTGAGAAAAATAGTAGCATGCAAGCAGACATGTCCTGGAGAAGGAGCTGAGCCTTCTACATCTTGATCCACAGGCAGCAGGAGAGTATGCCACACTGGGTAGAGGTTGAGCATATAAAACCTCAAATCCCACCTCCACAGTTACACACTTCCTCCAGCAATGCCACAAGTGCTACTCATTACAGCCAAGCATTCATACACATGAGGAGTCTGTGGGGGCCATAATTATTCAAACCACCAAGTATCCAATGAGGTCATACAGTAATTTAATATTCTGTCTTGCATTGTCAGTGCAGAACTATTTTTCCTAATTTTCTGTCACTTTTTAGTTGCTGTTTAGTATAAAATCCATATAGGCATCTATATAGTATGATTGAAATAATAGAATACATAACATACTTTAGACTTTGTAGTTCTCACATTTGTTTGGAGTTCTATAACATGAAATAATAAATGACCTAGAGACTGATGTTGGGGTTCAAACTTCAAGCTGAATGTCAGAAAAGCAAATCAGTTGGCCACTAGCTTCTTACCTCTACCTCAGGCTTAATGGGCTGATCCTGTCTCCATGAGCTCTCTCCAAGCCTCAGACTGTAACCTCTCCTCAGTGTGGCTGGAGAATGAATGTACCTGTGTTCAGTGTGGGTGGAGACTGGATGCCTTCTTGAGACCTTGCTTCTATCTTATATACTTCTATCTTATATGCTTCCATCTTATATACTTATATATGTACTTCATATATATACTTATATATGTTGGGGATAAAGGTGTAAGCTATTTTAGACTGATACACTCTTGTGTAAATCTGGGTGGCCTTGAACTCAGAGAGATCTGTCTGTCTCTTAAATCTGAGTCCTAGGATTAAAGGTGTGTGCCACCACCTCCTAGCTTCTGGCTACTAGGAATAAAGGTGTATGCCTGGCTTTTATGGCTTGTGACTGACTTTTCTGAATCCTCGGGCAAGCTTTAGTAAATCATAAATAAGATATCACTACAGAGTTCTTCTTGTCTAGATCTTAAAACTTCAAATTTTTATTAGTCAATTAAAATTTTATTATGAAATATAAAAGCCTTGAAGAAAGAACTTTTAGTCATGCTTTTCAGATCCAATTTAAAAACTGTGTCATCTACTTTTAAGAAAGCAATTGCATACTTTAAGCATGCTTCTCTTACAGGGTAAATGTTAGAATTGTTTTCTTAGGCTCTAAGCTGTAGTTGACAATCACGCCTTGTTTCATGTTTTAATTTGCTTATACTTTGGGGCAGGTACTTAGGTAGATGGTAAAGAGAGATTCTTCCCTCCACATTATATATTCTAGTGATTTCTTTAGAATGCTTTGAGCTTAGAGCCTTTCTCTCCCAAAAATATCTTTTTACTTTGGAGCTTTTTCTTTTTTAACCACTAGATTTGAAAATCCACTTAAATAAAAAACATAATATATTCAGGGTTCAGAATATTGTCTTGATGAAATGTGGAACAGCTTTAATTTCATACATTTCTATGAAAAAGAAACTTGGCAGTTACTTTCCTAAAAAATGTTTGTTATTTCTACATGGTGAATGTGCAATGAAATATAATTTAATTTTGAGTTTAATATCAGTAGTAATACCGATTTATCTGCACCTATAGCCCAAAAAAAATTTTTTTTTTTTTTTGGTTTTTCGAGACAGGGTTTCTCTGTGTAGCTTTGGAGCCTATCCTGGCACTCGCTCTGGAGACCAGGTTGGCCTCGAACTCACAGAGATCCGCCTGCCTCTGCCTCTCTAGTGCTGGGATTAAAGGTGCGCCACCAACACCCAGCTCAGTTTTTTTTTTAACTGGATTAAATATGGAGGGTACAAAATTACTGGGTTATAGCTCATCCTAAGAGAAGCACATTTTGTGTGAGTGGAAAGGAATTTTTGTTATGTTGTTTGGGAAAATTTTTTTGTGTTTTTATTTGTTTTGATTTTTGTTTACCTGTGTTGGTTTTTGACTTGGGTTTGTTGTTATTGTTGTTGTTGTTGTTGTTGTTATTGGGAGATGGTATGTGTAGTGTTGGTTGGAGGTCAAGACCTTATATGAGATAAATATAAATAAATACCTTATTGAGATGGATGCCCACACCCAGGGGAAAGTTTTCTTTTGTTGATGTTCTAAAAAAAAAAATAGTGAACTTTGCAAAAAATTTAAAACACTTCAAAATAAAGTTATACCAGTTTGTCAGTTGGTGGACGTTAATTAGTATAAAAACCTTGTGGATCCTTGGACAATACTGAGCGAGAAATGAAGATTTAGTAGAACCTTAAATATTTTTTTATTACTGTGGTTTATCCTTCTGTATAACAAACATAAACATTTTGTAATGATATTCTTCTGTTTGCTGAGGTTTAAAGTTTGTTTTAAGGGTATTCTGGAAGAAAAGATAGGATATACTGCAATATATTTTTATTTTGAATTCTCCACCCTCATATTTCTTTAGGAGTTGATCCCCCTCATATTGTGTACAGCATGCCTACACCCCGAACCTAAAGAAAGAGACCAGCTCCTCCACATACTCTTCAACTTGATCAAGAGGCCAGATGATGAGCAAAGGTGGGTGTCCAGGGATAAACAACTGCAATGCTGACATACTAATTTTTCTTGATGAGCATCATATTTGGTGATTTATTTCATCTACAGACCTTTTTTCCTTCCCAGTATCAATTTCCGTGTGCTGGAGCTTGCCCATCGTGTGTCCATCATTATGTGAATGACCTCAATAGTGTTGTCATTAGTTTGCTTTCCTTCTGTTCACCTCCTTTTAAAAGGAACCTGCAATTTGTACCAACAAATAAATAGATAATAGGAAAAACTCTCTGAGAAATTAAACCTGTGGAAATAAGTAAGTTCTTGAAGCAAAAATGGCTATAAAAAGTAGGTACAAATCCAGTTGAGGACCCCTACTATTATAATTACTAATAACTAAGTTTGCAGAGTGAATCTATGGGTTGTTGTAAAGTGTTAACTTTTTATTGACTCTAGACACATGTATATACTAGAGGATATTACCAAAACTTTGTTATATTTTGATCTGAAAATTCTGTTAATTCAAACTCTTTCCTCATTTCTAGTACAGAGGCATCTCCTAGTTCTCAATGATTAGGTTGTAGCTGAGACTTTGCTATAAAGGGGATAGAGCAAGCACCATAAATCTTCTAGTGTTCTCCATCGTGCTATAAAGAAATCAGCTCTTCCTTTATCTGCAAAATACAAGAAGCCATAGTTAGGTGTCATGGAGAACCCCACAAGCATTCTCATGTCCTTAGATAGGAACCTACCCTTATCTACCAGCATGTATTCTCAGTACTACTTTGGATGAGTGATAAGACCTAGGAAAACAAGTAGTAATAAAACCTTGATAGGGACAGGCGGTGGTGGCGCATGCTTTTAATCCCAGCACTCAGAAGGCAAAGGCAGACAGATCTCTGTAAGTTTGAGACCAGCCTGGTCTACAAGAGCTAGTTCCAGGACAGCCTCCAAAGCCACAGAGAAACCCTGTCTCAAAAAACAAAAACAAAAACAAACAAACATAAAAGAACCCTTGATAGGTTCTACTTCTTCAGATTTGCCTTGTTTTGGAGGGAAAAAATGCTCTAGCGGAAAGCAAGTTTCTTTTGTTTTTAATCCTGAGATTTTTCTTTTTTGAGGTGGCAAATAGTTGCCATTTCAAGAATATTTCTTTCAATTTGGAATTTTTTAGGAAGACATAAACTACTTGGGGTAGGGAGAGTAAAGAATGAGCAGTAAGTGTTTGTGAGAAAGGTACTTGGGAAATAGATAGCCCTTAATGAATCTAGATTAAGAAAATGTAGAAGCTACTAAGTCAAGCAGCCATTGTTTGTGTAAGGAAAATGGTTGTTTCTGTGGACTAAACACAGTTTGAGATACAAGTCAAAAGACATAGAAAGATGTAAGTGGCATGCTTTCAACCAAATTATGGGGTCTTTGGTAAAATCCTATAAGCCAAAGAAAGACCCGAAACCACCCAAGAAAGTACACTGCTACCTTTTCATCTTAGTGAATTTGCAAGCCATTTCAAATTTTTTAAATAACAAATTCTCATTGTGAAGATAATAAGTACTAAAGCAGAAGTGAAATCACATGACTAATCCTGCACTTAGTAGACAGTAGCAGATAATTTTGTTAGTTTGAGTCCAACCTGGTCTATACATAGTGAGTCGCAGAATAGCCAGGGCTATATAGAGAGACTCTGTCTCAAAATGAAAAAAAGAAGAAAACCCAAGTACTGAAAAAGGGAGAAAAAGCAATCCTAGATTCAGTATAGCACATAAGATTAAGTATTTTATATGGCTAAAGTGTCTCTGGAGTAAAACTATTGTGTAGCTTCTTCCTGTATCTCAAAGCAAATCAAAGTTGAAACTGTTTCTTCTTAGAGAAACAGAATTATCATGAGTCCCCAAAAAAATCACTATACAATGAGCATGGCAGTGATTCTGAAACTTCACAGTAAATATGTGAATAATACAATGAGAGATACATGTGTGAAATGTCATAATGAAATTAATATTTTATCAGTATGCTATGAGCATAGTACAGTGACAGATACATGTGTAAAACCAATCCTTTATTTGTACAATAACTACAAATTTAGTAATTGTCATAATAAAACCCACAGTAACATTGTACCTTGAAAAATAATTTATTACAGAAACATTTATAAACATTTGATATTCTTGAAAGAAATCAAGAATTGATGACTATTATAAAACAGAAAGGAACATAAAAATATTAGAGGGAAAAGTCTAGAATACCAAGATACTCAGAAAGAAAAAGTAAAATATGAGTTTTTCAAATTTCTATTATAGGCTTTATAGACTTAATATTACTGAAAACTGAGTACATGTTATAAACCATAAATTTCAAATATCACTAAACCAGTGTTGTCTGGCCTCCTAGAAGACTGAAGAATTGCTTGCTCAAACCTCTGGTTTTAATAATTTCCAAGAAATCTTCAATACTGGCTCATAATTTATAGTGATGGGCAGAATATAGATGCACATCTTCCTCTAACATGTTTATATAAAATATCTTGAAAAATACCAGTGTCTTTCTAAATGGCATGAGTAATATTTTATCGGCAGTAATATTTGATAGCCTTGAAAGCCAACTGGCATATTTGCTATTTCATTCATTCGGTATAAGTTTACAGAAGTACATATAAAAGTCCTAGTAATTCCTATAAGCTTCACTATAATTTAAATATTCTCCTTAAAATCACTTTTCATCAACTTAGCCATCCATGTATTTGTCCATCCTTCTATGACTTAAAATGAGCAAATTAGTTTATAATCTCTGAACATTGGTTCCAGTCAAGTCTTCATTGCTGAAATCCAGTTTCTCTTTCATTGTGAAAGGCTTTGAAGTCTGAAGTTGTATGCAAGTGAATGAAGAAGCATTACTCACTATATTTAATAAACAGGGGGAAAGAGCCTTGTTCCCAGCTTTCTGCAGTGTTTTCATTATTATTCTAGTGACTCGTGTTGTATTTGTGCCCTTAGGAGTTAGTTATCTGTGGGCATCTAATTCATATTATCTCTCTGCTTTCCTGCTTACACTTCATTTCTCCTAAATATCCCCATTTTTCCCACACAGGTGAACATGCTATGTCATAGCTTCATAATGATTAGTCTTTATAAAATGTAATATATGGAGACTGGAGAGATGGCTCAGTGGTTAACAGCACTGGCTGCTCTTTCCAGAGATTCTGAATTCAATTCCCAGCAACCTCATGGTGGTTCACAACCATCTATAGTGGGATCTGATGCCCTCTTCTGGCATAAAGTTGATAGAGCACTTATATATACATAAAATAAATAAATAAAATAATATATGAATATTTGCATCACTGAGTTATCAATAAACCATTTGCAGTATCTCCAGATAAATACAGTGTTTAGGCCACAATCAAAGAAAATTAGTTATGCCAGGGAGAGTTTTATTTTCATCTAAATCAGTAGTTTTCAACCTTCCTAATCCTTAGTATACTTTCCTCATGGTGAACCCCAACCATAACATTATTTTTATTACTACTTCATAAGTATAATTCTTTTACTGTTATGAATCATGATGAAAATATCTGCTGTGCAGGATATCTGAGATGTGACCCCCAGGTTGGGAACCACTGATCTAAATGGTGATTTGATGGCTTGAGTACACAGAAAATTTATGCCCTAAAGCAGCGGCTCTGAGTAGCTCATATTTCAATTGTGGGGGTGGGGACTCTGCTTTGGTCTTACACTAGCTAGTCAATCTATATATTTGGCCCCTTGTCAGAATCTAACAGAATTTAGCATCTTTATCTTTCCTAGTCTCTCAAGATTATTGAGAACAGAAGCTGTTTTGTTAATTAAGTGGTAGATACCCTGAGGAAGATCAGGAGTGGGTTAATTCATTGTCTATAGTACTTCCAAAACTTTATTGCCAATAACAAAACTTGTGCACCACCATGTGGGTTCCTCACCCATTTCTGAGGGAGTCAGATCTGACTTTCAACATAAGTCAGGTGGAAACTCAGCAGCAGCAGTGAGGCAGAACTACCTGGAACAGGTCCTTCCTGGAGTGTGCATGCAGCCTCTAATAGCAGCAGTCAGGAATACATAGCAAGGAATCGCCGTAGGACAGCACGCTGCACACAGGAACTCTGGGAATTGGTTTGATTGATAGTGTGTTGTCTACCTCAAGAAATAAAAATATGTTCACGTAATAAAGTAAAGCTTCAAGGGGAACCTGAAGAAAGCAGGCTGGCCATAGGGAGACAACGTACTAGTGGATAGAATAGTGCACCTGGATGGTTTTCTATTGCAACCTTTATCTTAATAAAACGGATTTTGCTTGTGTTTTGTAAAACAGAGTTGTGCTTCGTTAGGTATCTAGTTTTAGAGCTTCTTTTTATATATTCTAACAATTTGTTTATGTAAAATTGTAAACACATGAGTCATGAGACAAAGCTGGAAAATTTGGAGTAGAAGCTCCAAAGTTACGATCACACCGCCTAAGATACCCTGACATTTATGCTCTGTGTCTGTCTTTTGTTCTTAGTAGAATGTACCCAAGAGCAAATGGAGAGACTTGTCCTGGATGGCACTGGTGACTGCATGCACTACTAGTCAAGTAGGAATGAGGGAAATCAGATCACTATAGAAATACCATTTAACTTGAAGGTTTTTAGGGACAGTTTGGTGATACTATATAGGAAAATAGCTCATTTTCTTCCTTTAAAAAGGGAGTTCCTTATTGCCGGGCATTGGTGGCACATGCTTTTGATCCCAGCACTCGGGAGGCAGAGGCAGGTGGATCTCTGTGAGTTCAAGGCCAGCCTGGTCTACAGCACGAGTTCCAAGACAACCTCCAAAGCAATACAGAGAAACCCTGTCTAAAACCAAAAAAGAAAAAGAAAGAAAAAAGTGCCTTTGTCTTAGTAAGTTAGTAATGAAATACCTTTTTTACATTTTTGTTTAAGTTTGCAAGGCAAAACTTTGGGGGGGAGTGGGGGGTTCGAGACAGGCAATGCAAAACTTAAAACGTAACCACTGCCACCTGGTGGCCAACCCTTCACATCAGAAATAAAGCATTCTTGCCTACTGTTTTCATCTTACAGGAATATAATATTTTTTACTGTTATAACAGGCTACTTCCAATGCTATTACTAATGTATTGGGCCAACTGATCTTTTCTACTTAGAACTGCATTTCAGAGCTAACACTTTTTCCACTTGATGGTTAGATGTGATTAGTATAGTGGTAGTAGGTGATTTCAAGTTCTGTATGTGTATATCATTAAGAAATATTTTAAGTGCTTAAAATCTGTGTGTCAGTGACTGTGACCATGGTTTGTTTTGAGACGGTCTCACCATCTAGCCCTTGCTGGCCTGGAGTTAGATCAGACTGGCCTCCACTCACCAAGATCTGCCTACATTGTCTCCCAGGTGCTGGAATTAAAGGGGTGCCACCATTCCTAACTGTTTCACTCTTTTTAACTCCTGGTTGTAGTTCTGTTTTCTAATGCGCATCCAAGGTTTTTTTTTTTTTTTTTTTTCCTACTATTTTCAGGCAAATGATACTGACAGGTTGTGTGGCATTTGCACGTCATGTTGGACCAACTCGTGTGGAAGCTGAACTTTTACCACAGTGTTGGGAACAGGTGAGTTACCCATATGGCATTCTTAGCTATTTTTTCTTTTTTAAAGTACATGGGGAAATCCATGTGAATGTGAATGAGTCCATAACTCAGCACATGGTTTATTTGTGCAAATGAATGGTCTGGGATGCTTTGCTTTATTCATTCATTAAGCAGAGACTTAAAAACATGGATTCCAGTGTCAGGTACTAGTGCAGTAACTAGGAAAATAGTGTGAAGAAAGACAAAGTAGAAGACATGATAGAAAACATTGTCCTCCTCTGAGGATGTGCTCTTGAACCGAGAGTCTGGGTGAAGTAAGGTCCAACAAGTGCAAAGTCCCTGCTCTATTTGCTTGGTGAGCTTGAGGAAGAGTTAAGTGTGTGTAAATAGAGAACCTGTATAGATTGTATATACATAAAGTATGCAAAGTATAGAACTTTGATATAACAAGTTTATATATTTATAATTAAATTCATTTTACTGAAGTAGTTTACTTTTTTTTAAAAAGTAATTTATTTTTATTTTATGATCATTAGTGTTTTGCTTCCATGTACATCTGTTGAGCTTGTCAGAAGCCCTGGAACTGGAGTTAGAGACAGGTGTGAGCTGCCACTTGGGTGCTGGGAATTGAACCCAAAAGAACAGACAGTGCTCTCAACCGCTGAGCCATCTTTCCAGCTCCCCCACCTTTTTAAATAATTTATTTTTATAGTCTTATTTTTATAACATATGAGAATATTCCAGTCCTCTGAAGAACTCAGAATTGTGGACTTTGTAGATGTAGTAGGAAATTAAGAACTTCATTACATCACCTTTAAAAGATGGCTTTCTCATTATAGAAACAAGTTATAAAGCCCAATTTAAAATCATCTCTTGTTCTTAAAAGAATATTGGTCACAAGTAACACCAACTGTGTCATTGTTTAAAGTTCTAGTCCTAGTTTTTTTGGGTACTCATTTATTACTAAAGTGGTAGAGCAACCAGGTTCAGTATGTAAAGTGAAAAGTGTAGCATAGTGTAGTAATAATTACTCTGACAACAGCAGGCAACATCTTCATATTACAAAGCATGCTGATTTAGGGTGTGTTTCTAATTGCTTAAAGTCAAAATTAACTCCGATGCACAATGAAACTTTGAATTTATAAATCTGTACAACTATTCAGGTATACATTTAATGTTTTATAGCTTTTCCATTTTCTCTTTTTAGCTTGTATTTGTTGAACTGAGCACAGTGAGAAACACATGTAACCCCAACACTCCAGAGACAGAGGCAGGAGGAGTCAAGGCTAGACCCCACCTCAAAACTCCTAAAAAAATTAAAAAGTAAAAAATTATACCAGGCATGGTGGTACATGTCTGTAGTTCTAGTAACTGATGGGGCTGAGGCTAGAAGATGGTGTGAGTTCTAAGCAAGCCTAGGATACTTTCTCAAAAGCACCACAAAAAAAGTTTTGTTAATTCCAGTGCTGCCTAGAATGGTTTCAGTGCATTCACGGAGTGTTACATTCATCTCTGCATCCAATTTGAAAATTAAAGCTTTTTATTACCCGAAATGCAAATGTGCCACTAGGTCTGCTGTGGCTGCTATGGGTGTCTTAAATCTCTGTATGAATTTTAAGATATGCTTCTCATTTCTGTAAAGAAGCCAGATGGGATTTTTTTTTCAAGTAATTTATTGGATCTATAGATGGATCTGGACAGCATTCCTATCCTAATTATTTAAGTTCCCAATCTGAATTTTGGGTTCCTTTCCATTCATCAAAGTCTTTAAAATATCTACCACAGTAGTTTGTAATTTTCAGATAGTGTGTTTTATGCTTGTTTCACTCCTAAGTACTTTAGTTTTAAAGCTAAAGAGAATCTTTTTAATTCATTAATTGAAGAAATACAGTTGATTTTTGTGTGTATACTTACAGGAGACACAATATGCTAGACTGAGAAGGAATAAGATGAAACTTTAAGTGCAGCTTTCTGATATTCAGACTTTCTCTGCTTTCAGAGCAATTGTGACCAGATCAAATTTAGCTCAGAGATGTTAGTTATGCACATCTCTGCCATCTCTTTTGTATGTGGATCTTTATGATTGTGGATCAGGGATCTAGCTAGCCACGTACCTCTAGTTTGTTGCCCAATAGATTTCTATATAACTTCTTTTCTTAATTTTAGGCATCCAAAACATTATTGAATTATGTCATCTTTTGATATGGGAGTATGAGAACAGATATACTTCTTTTCCAGTCAAAGAAAGATTTATATTCTATGAAGAAGACATATGGGAACAAAACCCAGTATGTGACTTTTTTTTATTTTTTGTTCCAGTTTAGTGTAGTCAGTACATAGCAAAACTCCACTGTTTTGCATATACAAACAAGAAAGATGTCTTCTTAAAGAGAATATATAGTCTATGTAGCTGGCTAACCTATTGGCTAGCCCCAGTGGGAGAAAACAAACTGGCGTCTATCACAGGCCACGTCTCTAAGGTCCAGAAGATTTCTTCACTTCTATTGCTAGAAGTGCTTCCTTCTTCTGACATCCTAAGGAGAGCCTAGTCCTAAGCAAACACGATTTCTAGATACCTTGCCAATTCTTCATCTTTGATTTTCCCTTTTTTCTTTAACAGATACCCCTGTGCCTTGATGTTTAGGCTGCCCTTGATTCCCTTATTCCTGACCCAGGTATAGACACACAGGGAGTCCCAGATGTGGAAAAGGAAGGCAGTATACTATTTTCTTAACAAGATGTATGGTGAAAAGTAATTGTCTTTTGGAAGAAGAGAGGGTGTGTTGCTTATACTTGACTGATGTGCTTGTTTTTGACTCCAGATTAATCACAAATATCCAGAAAGACGACTGCTTGTAGCAGAGTCCTGTGGAGCACTGGCACCTTACCTTCCCGTAAGAACTCTTCTTTTTATTTGTTTCTGTTTAACAGTAGAGTGGTGTACATTTTAATCCAAATTTTCTTAACCATGCTATTGTTACAAAAAAAAAGAGAGAGAAGGGGGGAAGGTGCACACCAATGCAATTTTTTTATAAATAAGTACATTCGAATTGGTTGTGCATGCATATAAACATATGTAACTATGCTGGTAGTTCTGACAGTATGTTCTGAGGACCCTGGGAAGTTCCTTGTGGTTCTTTCAAAGAGGTATATAAGGTGGAACCAATTTGCCTAGTAGGATCTTTTTGTCCCTCACATATTTACACATACAGTGTCGGTACAGAAGTAGTGGTGGGCAGCAGTGTTCCTGCATGGCACTGATCAGAGAGGTGATGCTCAAACTTCCTGATGAGGACTGTGTTCTTCATAGCCCCACATTCCCAAAGCAAGCCAGTTTCCATAAAAAAGGGAACTTTACTTAATCTGTAAAATTGTTAATTTTACTAAATTCTACCCCTTGAGTGTTTGTACTGTTCTGTGACACAAAAAGGAAAGTGATAATAGAAAATGCTTTGACTGCAAACTGACATTTGGCAGGGTCTGCAGGAAACGCACTTAGGTTCTTGCTTGAGCACTGAGGGTAGCAGCTGTTCCTTTCTTGGAGTATCATTTTTCTCAGCAGAACCACATATTGTCAGACTTGGGAATATGACAGACGTCTTCATTTTCATGAAGTAAGTTGTCACTTGAAGGAAAACAAATGGATAAATACCTTTCCAGTGATAAAAATGAATATTGAGTGGGTTCTAGAATTGTGGGACATTTGTATCTACAACTCTAAGGCTAATAGCTTTTAAATGCATAAAGGCTTTTTAATAATATAAATTGGTTAGATTTTTAATGATAAAATTTGCCAGTTTTAAAGGAAATCTACATAAATTTGTGTTCTAGTATTGCAGGGTCCTAACGGGTATCCCTTGGGGGGTAAGGGAGGGTGAAAGGTGTAGACAAAATACCAATAAACAACTTGAAACAACCGGCTCAGGTTATTCCAGGAAGGGGTAAGCCTTATATACCCCCCAAGCCTGCCCCAGGGGAGGAGATCCACTGAATTGGTATCTGCAGAGGTGAAGTAGTCACCATCCATAGGTCCATGTCATCTCTTGTCAGACTTGGCTGCTGTTGTCAAGGCCCTCTGGCAAACCCAGGCTGACTGTCAGGAAATATTTACTGTGCATGCTGTTACTATCTGTCTAGGCCGGCTGTCAGGCCTATTGAGGTTTAGTTATCCTACATTCTAGTAAAATTCACAATGTGTATGTTAACATAGAGGCATTCCATCTGAGATGTAGCAGTGAAATTTAAGTTCAGATATCCGTTGTGGGATTTGGTTCGGCTTGGTTTGGTTTTTGTGATATAAAGTCTCATTGTATGGGAAGGATTTGTAGATGACTGGCTGTCTTCCTTAAAACATTTTCTGAATTTCTTAAAATGTGTATTTGTTGTTTTATTGCATCTTTTGAAAATTCATGCTTTTAACAATATTCATTTACCTGAATAGCCTGAAACTTGCCATGTAGAAGATGGCCTTGAACTTCTTATCCTCCTGCATCCCACTACCCATGTGCTAAGATTATGGGTCCTCACCATTACAACCAGCTCACAGGCTTAAATGTTTGTGTAGGTCACCTGAGAAGACTTTAAAAAAATGTCAAAACGAAAGCCAGCTCTTTGTTTTTATTTTATTCTGTTTATTATGTATTTTAAAGATACCAGACCAAGTTCAGCTTGATTAATTTTAAAACTTGGCAAGTTTCGGTAATACTAAGAAGGGTATGAATTTGAGTATTGATGACTATTTTTAAGATTTATTTTCTTTTTAATTAGGTGTAAAAGCAGGAGTAGGGGGCTACACATGAATACACTCGTCTAAGGAGGTAGTATGCTTATCTCTGTAGCTACAGTTAACAGGTGGTTGTGAACTCCGGTCCTCTGTAACAGAAGTAGAGTCTTAATGACTGAGCTATCTCATCAGCCCCTGATAGCTTTATTTTAATCTCGACTTTTTGTTTTGTTTTTTGAGACAGGGTTTTTCTCTGTAGTTTGGGAGCCTGTCCTGGAACTTGCTCTGTAGACCAGGCTGTCCTTGAACTCACAGAGATCCACCTGTCTTTGTCTCCCAAGTGCTAGGATTAAAGGCGTACACCACCACCTCCTAACCTTAATCTCAACTTTTAATAAGCTGATTCTTTAACATAACTGAGAACAGAGGTGTGGGGTGCTAGCGGTTTAGCTCGGTGATTGAGCCCTGCCTGACATTAATGCAGCCCTGGGATCCTAGCATTCACATCAGGTGTCTCACAACCACCTGTCACTTCAGTCTAGGGGATCCAACACTCTCTTCTGGCTGCCACAGGCACTGAATTTGTGTTCACAAACCCACACTCACATACATATACACAACATTTATAATAAAAATAAATTATATTTAAGGTAAGCTAAGGCACAGCACTAATTGACATTTTTATTAAATGTGACCATATTAAATGGCAGCCTAAATAAATCATAAAAATATATTGGTTATTTTCAGAAAGAAATTCGTAGTTCCTTGGTTCTTTCAATGTTGCAACAAATGTTAATGGAAGATAAGGCAGATTTGGTAAGAGAAGCTGTGATCAAAAGCCTGGGTGTCATTATGGGCTACATTGATGATCCTGACAAATATCAACAGGTATGTTTTTCAGCATGAACTTCTTTTAACCTGTTACAAATTCCAAATAATGTAGTTATTCAGATACTTGGCAGTCTACAGGTGAGATGGTGTGTCAATGTGGTCAGCAGGAATGATGGCTACTTTCAATCCAGCAGCTGTCAGGAAGTTGGAAATGAATGTGCATGTTTTCCACCCTATTTGCTCATCCATGGATACATTAACACTTAAGAAAATGGGAAGGATTTGTAGATGACTGGCTGCCTTCCTTAAAACATTTTCTGAATTTCTTAAAATGTATATTTGTTGTTTTATTACATCTTTTGGAAATTTATGCTTTTAACAATATTCATTTTCCTGTTTCTCTTTTGCAGGGCTTTGAATTACTGCTTTCAGCCCTGGGTGACCCCTCTGAAAGAGTTGTTAGTGCAACACACCAAGTATTTTTACCAGCTTATGCTGCCTGGACAACAGAACTTGGAAATTTACAGTCTCATCTTATACCGACACTACTGAACAAGATTGAAAAGCTTCTCAGGGTGAGTTTTTCCTTTTTTTATATAATTCATAAATTTAAAGAGTCTGTTCTAAACCATCTCGGAGAAGTAGTGGGGACAGAGACAAGATGTACCACATACTCAAATAGTCTAACACATCACCACTGAGGAGAGATGAGGAGCTAGAAGAGAAGACACAGTGGGCATTGTTAACTGGACTAGCACCTTCCTGGTGCCAGTTCCTCCCGGATCCTCTGAAGACGTGACTGTTTTACATAAAATATCAACTCTAGTTGCAGATTGCAGAGATGACTAAATGCTAAGTCTCTATAGTCTTCTTGTTTCTATGATGTCAAAACTACTTTAACTCTGAGACATCTTAAAGAGAACTTCATTCTACTCAGAAGAGTTGATAACAAGTTGAGAAAATAATAGACACTTTTTTATCTAATTTTTGTTCTAAATGTTCGTTGAGAGGTTATCAGAGAAGCTAGTATTTCATGGGTGCCAGTATATACTGCTAAGATTAATACTTTAGATTTAAAAACTTACTTCATTCTTAGAACCCTTTGAGGAGGGGTGTTTTATGTTTTACATGGAAATTAGGGTTTAGTGCTCAAGTAATTTGCCAGGGTCCACAGCTATCATACAAAGTGGTTTCTGACTCCAGACTCTTAAGCTTTGTGCCTCAAATTCTTCAAGGACCTCTAAGGCTTTTATCATAAATCTTAGAACTATTCAATAAATGATCTTATATGTATATGTGTATAGGCTTAAATCTAAAAACTGAGCTGTTCCTTCTAAATTTCACAGTGGGCATTTAGGGAAATATGTATGAAGAGTAAGACTGGAGTGACTTGTTCAGAAAAATCTAGGGATTCTTTTTAAGTGTTTGCCTTCTTTCTATCTGATCATTAACCAGGCCTTGTTTTCTTGTCTGTTTACCTTGCTATGATATAAGTAATGCCACATTGTTTCTAAATGTCTCCAATGTCCTACTTAGCTAGTAATGGTTCTGTTAAAAAAAAAAAAATAGCTGACATCTCAAGTTGATATGAATGCAATAACTTCTTTTATCTCTAGTATTCTTAGTATTTGGGGGTTTTTTGTTTGTTTTGCTTTGCTTCATTTTTCACTATAACATTTTGCTTCTGGGTGACATATGAATCTTTTTTCTGTCATCTCTCTCTTTTTATCTGGGAAGCAAGTATTTGCAAATACAGATCCCACCAGATACCTGAAATCATTTAGGACACAGAGAAATAGCAAATGATTCTACAGGATCAGCAGTGTCACTCTTAATGTGATTCCTGTGACTCACTGTAGTATTCAAGAATTCTAGAAGATAAGACACTCCCCACAGAAAATGTTCCCAGCACTGGAAATGACTGTTCCTAGATTCCCATATTAAAGATTCTGGCATGTCTACAGTGCCTTCTTGCTTCTCAGCAGTTAGGATGGACATCTCTGTATAGTGCATGTTTGGGGTCTTATGTAGAGATCCTTAAATGTTGATTTGCCATAGAAAAGGAAGCTGTCGTGCATCCAACTAGCAATGTGATTTCAAAAGCCTAAGAATAGCTACCACCCCTTATGTTTCAGGAAGGAGAGCACGGGCTGGATGAACACAAGCTCCACATGTATCTTTCTGCCTTGCAGTCCTTGATCCCATCTCTCTTTGCATTAGTGCTTCAGAACGCACCTTTCTCCAGCAAAGCCAAGCTGCATGGTGAAGTGCCACAGATCGAAGGTACTGGACTCAGCTCTTGAAGGAAGGGGTAGAATGTTGGCAGTTTAGCTTCCCAAAGAGTTTTTTTTTTTTTTTTTTTTTTTTTTTTTTTTTTTTTTTTTTTTTAATTCTAACCATTATATGGCAGCCCAGTTACTAAAATGTATTGTGTGTATAATGTGTAGAATCTTGTGTTCAGAGACTAGTAAAGTCTCACATAAACTTTATAGTTTCCTCTTTTATGGATAAGCCATGTGAGATTATTCTATAATAGTTATGTTTTCTTCTATTACCCATTGGGTGGGTGGGCTTCACTTGTTTGTTGGTTTTATGGGAGGATTTGTGTTTTGTTGAGGCAGAGTCTCACACTACCAAGGGCTGGCAGCTTCTATAGACTTTGTTAGGAAGCTGGGATAGACATTTCTGTCTCAGATATGAACCAAATAAAAAGACTCAGTAATTACTAGGGCTAGTGTGTGAAGTTTGTCGTTTCCTCTTTATTTTTTTTCTTCCCTAGCTGTTTTGTTTTCTATTGGGTAAGAGAAATATAATTGTAATTTTTAATATTAAGTATAATTTCCTGCTGTGTTTGTGGTAGAAAGAAACAAGCATGTGGTAAGATTTTCTCTTCCCCTCCCCCATTAGAAACAAAATGACTTAACTTCAGAAACAGGTGAAGTCAGGCTGGGAATACAATGATTGACAGAATGCTTGCCTAATCCATGAACAGAGGTACTAGGTTCAATCCCCAGGACTGGAGTTGGGGAGAAAGGAAGAAATACATGAAGTCACTCTGCCAGTAGACAGTAAATGATCTTTGATGTGTAAGAAGTGGTTAACAGCCCTTGTGCTCCTAATCAGTATGCCTAAGAAAAGGCTGGGTATGAAATATCTTCATAGCATTTTGAGGTTGGTGAAATTATCTGTGTCTCTTTCTGGCTTCTGATAAAGAATTATTGTACTGATAATTTAAAAACTCAAACTTCGTAAGATAAAGACTTGGAAGATAAGACTCCTTAAGAATTCATGACTGTGATTCTGCCACCCACTAAAGTACTTTTTGTCTTAAATCCCTCTTCCTCTTCCTGGTTGGCTGTGGTAGTTTGCTGAAATTGTCTTAATAAAGTATCACAGACTAAGTATCTTAAACAACAGAAATATTCTATCTCAAAGCCAGAGGGCGGAAGTGTAACATGAAGATATTGGGAGAGGAAGGACTTCTGAGAACTGAGAGAAGGCTGCCACCTCTTCCTTAACGTCTAGTCACTTATGGGCCTTCTTTGGTGCTCCATGGCTTGCACTGCATCTGACTTTGTTGTTCCCTCCACATTGCATACTATCTGTAGTCTTCCAGTACCCAGCTTTCCCATATTTGTCAAAACATCAGTCATATTAGATAGGAGCCTACCCCACCTTCTAGTTGATATCACTTTCTCTAAACACACCTGTGGCAGTCCCATTTCCAAACAGAACACTTTGGAGAGTCAAGGAGAAACTAGCCCAGCCTATGATAGCTCTTACCACTTCTTCCTGTTTTTAACAAATACTCCTTGAATGCCAACTGCTGCCGTCCACTTATTTCTTTTCCATCTTGAACACGCTCCTTACTTAAATAACTACTGCTTCTTGTGATTGCCTTCATTGCACCAAATAACAGTCTTTTGTTTTTAGTTACTGTTGCTATAACTCTTTGGCCTGTTGTAGTTGTTGTTGATGAGGAGGAGGATGAGGATGATGTAGGGTCTCTCTGAACTCACAAAGATCCTACTTCTGCCTCTGGAGTGCTGGAATTAAAGATGTACACCATTACACCCAGCTTTTAGATTAATGTTAAAATTGTATCCTTCATCTAACTGATAATGTTTATTATAAAGGATAATACCAGTTTGGGGGTTTTTTTGTTTGGTTGGTTGGTTAGGTTTTTTTGCCAGTTATTTTATAGCATTAACCAAAGTTTATTTCATGCACTTTTGTTTTGGGCATTTGGGGTGCACTGGTGAACAAGGTAGCATTTGCTGACATTTTAAAGCTAACCTCCAGTATTACTAGTGGCTGTTATTCTGAGAATTACTGTGTACATTTCATTGCTGATAAGATGCTGTTGTTTTATCATCATAGTAAAATGTTATTCTGAGAACCTTTCTGCAATATTGTATGACAGATTTCAAGTTTTTCAAACTGTTAAGTAGAAAAAATATTTGAGGCTCTTAAGAACATTCTTTTGTTGTTTTGTTGTTTTTTTGAAACATCGTTTCTCTGTGTAACCTTGGCTGTCTGGAACCTGATCTGTAGACCAGGTTGGCCTCAAACTCAGAGATCCACCTGCCTCTGCCTTCCAGCTGCTGGGATTAAAGGCATATGTTATCACATCCACCAAAAAATTCTTATTTCTTCTCTATAGCTGAGTTATTCACATAACTGCCTATTTCCTGTCATCATTTTGTTTCTGTTGGACTCAGATTTTTAAAATGCCTTTAGACCCATTCTTAATGTAGTCAGTCTTAATCTATCATTGTAATTATTATTTTCCAACCACAGATTAATAATTTTGAAATACAAGCATTTATTCTATTGTATCTGGCAGACTGTGCCCAGTATGACAGAACCCTGGTTGAAATTTATATCAGATATACTTTGATGTAATGTAGAATTTTGAACGCAGATACCCCTAATCATCCAGATCTTCTATTGCTGAGCAAGGCTAGTGAGAATTCAAGCAGACATCTAGGTTATGAGCAATACCATGTTACCCACATATCCGTCACTGGGTATTATGAGTGCAAAAAGGAGACTTTGAATAGCAGCCATGACTATTCTCTTCAATTCATATATTGTTGAATGCATGTTGCAGCACAGGAGTACGATAATGTTAGGTAGTACTTCAAATTTTCTGAAGCCAAACCTTGTATCATTAAATATATTTTGAGCAAATACTACACCCTTCTATGTCTTTTGGGTGTGTTTACTACTATTTAGAAGTTGTATCCTACAGTTAATGACTGTTATCATACATTATTCACTTAATGACCATGTAACTATTCCATAATTCCATGAAATCCTCAGCTATCAAGATGGATCCATGGGTAAAGGTACTTGTCATCAAGCCTGACAACCTGAGTTTAATCTCTAGTACCCCCATGATGAAAAGAGATACTCACCAGTATAAGCTGTCCTCTGACTACCAGGCATATCAGAGCACGTGTGTACCACCCCCGAAACACACATACAGGCAAAATTAAAATGTAATCTCAAAAAAGAAATCTGTGCTGGGCATAGTGTTGCAAGCCTTTAATCCCAGCACTAGGAAGGCAGAGTCAGGTGGACCTTTGAGAGTTCAAAGCCAGCCTGGTTACAGAGTGAGTTCCCATAGTCAGGGCTACAAAGAAAAACCCTGTCTGGAAAATTTAAAAAGAAAGAAAGGAAGGAAGAAAAGGAAGGAAGGAAGAAAAGAAAATTGATTGTGATCCTTAGGATTATAGGCTTCATTAATATGCTTAAGCTTTTAAAATACACTAATATATACATGTATGTATTATATTTAAGATACATGATTTAAAAGTGAGGATTTTTTTCAGTTTCCTTTCAGATTTTTTTAAGGTTTGTAATGTGGGACTTTGGTAACAGTATCTATATAGATTGTGCTTTAGCTTGCTGGTCACTGGCTTTGGTACTTTACATTATCTTAAACAGACTGAATTATTTTAAATAAAAAATTTAATGTTGAAAATTTACTAAAGAAATTTATTCAGCTGAGGTGTCAATATTTTACATCATTATTCTCTCCTGTGAAATAGTATTTTCCCTGCTTTTAACTTTAGTCTCTAAAGGATTTCTTTTATGATATTATTTCATTGATATAAACAGTATAATGGAATTACATATTTTTGTTGTTTTTTTAATTAAATTAAAATTTTAATAAAATCTATGTCTCTTACTGGAGTCTTTGAACCAATGTTAATTTAACTTACATTAACTTAGTTTTCACTAATAAGTGCCCATTAAATTTTTCATTAAGTGTGGGGGTCTCAAATCTCCTTGGTGTTCGAAATTTAAAGTTTATGACAAGTTAATTAAATAATCAGAGCCTTATTTTACTTTGAACAGAATAACTAAGTGCTCAAACTATTTTTTTCTATGTGATTTATTTTGCTTTCCTATGTGATTTGTTATTTACAGTGACCAGGTTCCCTCGGCCTATGTCACCTCTGCAAGATGTGTCTACTATTATTGGAAGTCGTGAGCAATTGGCAGTGCTACTTCAGCTTTACGATTACCAGCTAGAGCATGAGGGCACAACAGGCTGGGAGAGCTTGCTGTGGGTTGTTAATCAGTTGTAAGTTACCACCTCCATATACTTAAATTAGATCAATAAAAAATAGCTCGTTCTTAGGCTTGAGACAGAAAGTCTATAAAATAGATTTAATTTATTTAAGAAACATAAGTTTGGCGTCTTCAATAGCAAAACTTGAAAAGTGATATTTATTCCCACTGTGTGTGAGGAATAATGTGGCGTGGATTGGGACCTGGTCCTTTGCTGATCATGGTCCCGCCGCAGGTGATAGACTGCAGGCAAATGGGTAAACAGAGACCTGTAGACGTGACTCACATTGAAAGTTTTATTGGGGAGGGGGTAAGAAAATAAGGGAAAGAGACAGAGAGAGAACAGAAGAGAAGGAGACAGGAAAAGTCCTGTCTGCCCCAGGGGAACAGCAGGAAAGAGAACATAAGTGGGCTGGGTCTGCCTTTTAAAGGGGTCCTTTGCAGCAGCATGCAGACTGTGAATCATGGAACCCTGGGCTGACCGTGGTACTGCCTGAGTTCATTCTGCCAGGTGACAGGGTTAGGTCAGCATAATGCCTAGATCCTTATCTGTGAAGAAGCTCTTCTTTATTGTGTCAGGACTGATCTGCTGCCTTGAGTGGCAGTAGTTGTGGACTTTAAACTATATCCTAATTTAATAGCTTTGAGTCTAGAATTTAATGGGTTACGTTTAATAGCTAATTTAATACCTTTGTTAAACCAAGGTTTTGTGGTGCATCAAACCCATGATTTTGAATTCCATTAACTTCATATGTAGAAAACTGTATTTTATAACAAGCAGTTAACAACTGATGTTTGAAGAGTTGATGTAGTAGAGCCCATTAATGCCATTTCAAATGATCTGAAACCCATCCTTTGCTTACAGAGAACATAGAGAAGGTTTTCGGATCTGTACTCTAGCAAGAGTATCCCAGTGACAGTCACTTACATGTGCCGCTGCTGTTTTTCTCTCCTTTCACATTTAGGTTGCCACAGCTTATTGAAATAGTGGGCAAAATTAATGTAACTTCAACTGCCTGTGTCCATGAATTCTCCAGATTTTTCTGGCGTCTTTGCCGGACATTTGGCAAAATTTTTACAAACACTAAGGTAAATATTTGTATTCCATCTTTACTTATATTCAAGACACACAATTATAATGTGATAATACTTTACCAAAATAAATACCTTTTAGCTTCTTTAATGTCTTAGAATGTTGTTACATTTAGTAGTATATTTACCCTCAGGTCAGGGTGTACTGAGATTTTATTATGAGATCTGCCACAGTAGATCTATCAAAGGCTTTTACCAGAGGCATATCAGTTGGGAAAGCAACCCAATTCTTTGAGTAATAATGAAGGGAAAGAAACCTAATTCTTTGAGTAATAATCAAGGGGTTTTTTTTTTGCCATATACTACAGATTTTGGAAGGATTTGTCTGCTTAGCACTTGATAAAAACCTAAGATAATGAACGCCAGCAGCCTATAAAATTTGCTTCAAGGATACTACTTCTTAGAAACAACATGAACACTCATATGTGTGCCTTGGTCATTACCACAGTGTGATCTGTCATGGTAGCCTACACTGCTTATTGTTTCAGGTGTTAAAATTTGAGGACACTTGCATTCAATTCCTTCTTCATTTCTTCTAATCCATTTGTCTTGGGTTTATTGTTTGGCTAGTTGCTTAGAGAACTCATATAAAAGGCAGTTGCTACAGTCAGGTTTCATCAAGATACTCAAATAGCAGACACTCTAAGTTTCTGCTCCTTCCTACTAAATCTGTTTTATTGCAACTTTTAAAGCAGAAATGTAGTCAGCAATAAACTCAACAAAATTCACACTCCCTTTCTAGTGTGTTGGCTGCTAAGCTCTGTAAAATTTAGTAAGTTAAGTAACCTATTCATAGTGTTTCGTGAAATGAAGACATTCAGTCTTCATTGTGTGGTTCTACAGCTTAGTCCTTTCACAATCTTGAGCCTGTTATTGAAATATAATATATTTCTGACCATTTCAGTAGCCTATAAAGCAAAATCAAAAGTTGTATCAATAATCAGTATTTTACCACTGATTAATCCATGGATCTTCTCTTTGTATTGCTTAGGTAAAACCCCAATTCCAGGAGATTTTAAGACTCTCTGAAGAAAACATTGGTAAGTATTCCATTATTTTAAAAACAATGGGATCTTTATAATCAGGAAAAATACTATATTTGTTATCTGAAAATTATATAAACTAAGATGAGTAATTGAGAAGAAAAGTGTTTGTCATGGAGTTCTTAGTATTCCCACAGGCCTTGTCAGTTATCTTCTCCATGGGGTGAATTTATCCCTCCTTACTCTGATTGTAATAACTACCTTAATTATGACCAGACTGCCCCTAAGGTCAAGGGTCTCAGACCAGCAGCTTTTAATCCTTAGAGTGTACTATGGTGTGCTCAAAATATTTCAGCTTATAAAGCAAGTGGTATTAAAATAACAGTGGAAAACAGTAAGGGTATGCAAGGTTTTTTAATGAAACAGAAAAATTCAAAGAAACTGTAGGTCCTGTGTGAAGAGACCTTGCATTGGTCATTTTCACCCATCTGTCTTAGGCAGTGTAGGTACGGCATCACTCTAGGCCAGCTTTACTGGCCTAAGAAAATGATTATGTATGCCTCTTGTAACCCTGTCTGTTTGGGTTTTTTTTTTTTTTTCATTTCCAAGAAAAGATTATAGAAAATATTAAATGGAATAAATAGCAACTTCTACTTAATTGATCTTGAATGCATAGGTAATTGTTTACCTAAAATCCCACCATTAAGGATTTTAGATAATTAAGATGTGATTTAGTGTCAGAAAATTACATTTCTGGTGTCCTTAGCAATGGCTAGAGAATGAATAAATGAATTAAGTTAGAAAACATCAATGCAAAAGTTACTTTTAATAGTTTTTCTCCAAGAGTTGGTTTTTGCCTAATTGTTAGTGTTTTATGTTTGAGGTATGTACTAATTCCGATGATAAATTAATGAAGAAAAATTAAGTTATTGAGAACTGGCAGCTTTTAAAATCAATAACTGTGAATATTTAATTATTCAGAAAGGAAATGATTATTACACCCATTTTTACAGTTTGTATCTCTAGTACCTCTTAATCCGGCCTCAGATTTAATTCTTTACTACCATTGTCATGTTAGCTAACATCAATATTCCTCCCAAGAAAATGTTACTTTTACCACCAAAATAAACTTTAAATGCTTACTAATGTAAAACCAGTTTTGTTGTTGAAATCATGTCCAACTCCTAAATGTATCTTTTCCATTCAATTTCTTTGTGTTCAGTACTGAAAATAAATTAACCATATAAGAATATCAGTACAATAACAAAAACTCTTAACGGCATTGAAACAAACCCCTTAAAACTGTGTAATGATCAATAAATGAACTGTTGGTACTATAAATGATTTTACCTCAGTATCGTTGATTATAGAATTTACCTTTGTAAGTATTACTTTATCTTAATATTTGTAGACAAAGACTCTTAGAGGGTAGTCATCGGTTACACAGTCATGGTTGGATTGTCTTGCCATTCTTTCCATTTATGTAGCCTCATTCCTACTCCTATTCCTCCTCCGTGAACTTTATCAGGGCACTCTGTGGATGAAAATCTATAGTGGGTGCCCTGAGCCAAACAAGTTAACTAATACACATCTGCATGCTATGTAAGACCTGGCTATGTAGATACTTGAGAGACTCTTAAAGAAAGCTTTTGGGGATTTTTTAATTCTAGAAATAGGAGTCGGTCCCTCAGTTTGATTATTAAATTCCTTACTTATCTATTAGAAGTGTATGTGCTAATGCCACTTCAAAAGTATTAAGTTGTGATTAGCAAATTAGAATGTGCCTTCACCAAAATGCTATCTTGTAAACAGTTGTACTTTTAAATGCAATTCTGTTTTTCACTTTTGCCTTTACATTTAAAGTATACTAGAACGTTTAAAAATATTTTAATAATTTTAGATTCCTCAGCAGGAAATGGGGTCCTCACTAAAGCTACAGTCCCCATTTATGCCACAGGAGTCCTCACGTGTTACATTCAGGTAAGAGAGCAAGTCTTCCTCTTCAGTAAAGGTGCCTCTCCTTAGAAAATACCTGATGTTTGTTTGCTGGGATAAGACCCAAACCTCCAGCTTAAGTGAAAATGTTACCCAAAAGAAAACAAAAGTAGTTTTACTCATTTTTCAACTAATGTTTTGTAGTGAGGAGCATATTTGAAGTAGTCGCCAAGTAAAGTACCAATTTAACAAATAAATTTAATTTAACATCAGTCACAAGGGTGACTGAGCTCCACCACCCATGTGACAGTACCTTCCATTTCCCGACCTGATGATTCAAAGCTCAATGATATGAAAGCAGAGTATACTAGACTAAGAGTTAGTCCCAGGAGCGGTACAACATTACTTCTATAATAGTGTTAATAAGTCATAAGCCCAGGCTAGATTCAGGAAAGGTATATTAAACTAGGTTAGTTATCAGGAGGTGTTGAGTCATTGCTTACTTCTGGAGCAATAGACAGCCACACTCTCCTCTCTGTTGCTTTAAGTAAATAGCATGACCCATGTTAAGGCACATTAGAAAGTGGAGCATAAGAAGGAAAAAGCATGCTTTTACTGATGATTCTCTGAGTGTTCATCCAAGGATACCTTGCTTCTTGAATTCCAAGAGCATCACTTGATATGTATTGTATCTTTCTTCTAGGCATATTCAAGTGGTATCACAGTGTTAAAACTCACTGCTATTCCATGAACACCAGCTATCTAAGTTCTGGTTCTATTAATAATAGCACTGTATTCCTTTAAGCTTTTCTAAATGAATTTCTATGATGTCATAACACAGATATACATTGTCTATGTAGGATATTTTCAGTCATATAGCATTGACAATCTCTAGTATTCCTGAAGTTAGAGGCGAATTATGTTAAGTCCAAACACCACTGTAAACAATAGTGTGATACTGTTCTCTTCTCCATTTGATTTGGAAGTTGCATCAGCATGATATCAAATCTAATACCAATGTTTTCACTTTTTAACTTAACAGTTTTGATAGAGGTTTGATCTTAACCATATCATTTTAAAGCATGGTAAATTCCCAGTTACAAGATATGACATATAGTAGAAAGTCAAATCAGACTTAAGAATATTATGACTAAGGACCTATCTTTGAAGTGACTCTGAAATCCAACCATATTTTTATTTAAATGTTTTATAAAAGCTTTTCCATTTAATAAATTGAGGTAGTAATCAGAGGTTACCCAGATTGCTCATTTCAGAAAGCACACACCAGCAGTTAATGGTTCTCCTTGCTAAGTACCATTTATGTTAGGATAAACCATAGCCTATAGTTTTATTAGGAAACAAAGCCTATCTTGAGGTCTAGGAATGTAGATCAGCATTAGAGCACTTGCCCACCATGTACTAGATCCCAGCATCACATATACACTTCTGACCTACATATATAAAGCACTACTATTTGAATTGATATTTTAAAATGGGAAATAATTAAAGTTGATTTTATAAATTCGAAAGAATCTGTGCTCATTTGGAAGTCTATTTTTAGCTCGTTTCACTGAATTATTTTAGACTTGCAGTTTATTTTCCACAGTTCTATTTGCTGTTAGACATTAATGATTATCCTGGTTAGTTTCTGTTACTTTCTTTTGTTGTGATAAAGGACATGTCCAAAAGCTACCTGGGGAGAGAAGGGTTTGTTCAGTGTACATGCCCCAGTCACAGTCCATCTTTGAGGGAAACCAAGTCAGGAACTGAAGCAGAGATCATGGAGGAATACTGCTTACAGGTTTGCTCTCCGTGGCCTGCTCAACTTTATGCAACCCAGGACCACCTGCCCAGGGATGACCCTGCCTACCCTGGACTGGACCCCTCTTATGAATCATTAATTCAGAAATGTGATAGAGATAGTTTTATCAATTGAGTTTCCTCTTTCCAGATAACCCTAGCTTTTGTCAGCTTTTGTCAAGCTGACAAAAACAAACAAAAAATTAACCAGCACTGTGGATAACTACCAAAAAAAAAAAAAGTGGTGGGAGATGGAATTCCATTCTCACCTTGATCTGGTATAATCCAGTCTTCCTTCTGGACCTTTGGGTGTGTCCAGAAGCTATTTATCCTTGACATTTATCTTTTTTGACAGTTTGACTTTCACTTATATGTGTTTAGCATTGACAGTTCTGGGAAAATATCAGATTTCCTTCCTTTATGGATTCAGATTAGTTAAACATGAAAAGTTTTTAACTCTAACCTAACAGATTTGTCTATTTCTTAATAAAAATTATGAAAGTAATGATGATTCATTGAAGAAGGCTTGAAAACATTAGTAATCCTTAATCACAAATGAGAGCTGTTTTCAGAACACTGCTCTATTTCAGCAAGTAGAGTTTTTACCACTGAATATTGCAAATATAATTCTTAGAAATCAATTTTTTACTATTAGAAAGGTAACTGTTTTGGTGGTCTGTTTTTAACTGTGTATAGCCACCATTCATGGAAACCAAACTTGATAGTGTAAATTTTAATAAAATACCATACTTTAAATCACGAACATCTAATGAAGCTTTGTATAGTAGTAGAAATAATGTGTACATCAGAGTCATCTAATACTAAGGATGCTAACTATCCTCAGTACTTAAGGCTGTTAAGTCTTTAATTTATATTAGTTGTGGTGATACATTATTTATGATTTATTAAAGCTTGCCTGAGAATAAAGACAGCAAAGTCAGCCTCAAGCTATAGAGATCAGGCAGTGGTGTTATACACCTTTAATCCCAGGACTCGGGATTAAGAGGTAGATGGATCTGTTAGTTCAAGGCCTTTAAGGCCTACACAAGAGTGAAGAATGACAAAGCTCATGCCTTTGATCTGAGCACATGGGATCACACGTCTTTAATCCCAGCATTAGGGAGGTATATAAGACAGGAGCAGGGTCTCGGAGCTGGCATTCAGTCTGAGTGAATCTGAGGAGCAATGAAGTAGGGAGCAGTCCAATCACCCCTTTGGTCTGAGCTGAAGTAGAGGTAAGAGCTAATGGCCAGCTGCTTTGCTTTTCTGATCTTCAGCTTGAAGTTTGAACACCAATATCTGTCTCTGGGTCTTTTAGTTTTTGTGCTACAGTTAGTGTGACTAAAAAACTGAATTTTCTAATCTAATTTTTTTTCATTTAAATTTAAATATAAATAATCATGTGACTAATGGCTACCATATTAGACAGCCAGGTCTAAATCAAATGATATTGTCTTTGACTTCATGGTATTGTGATCATGGGTATGTTTAATAATAATATCTTCAACCAAAATAGTTTTCTAGGTGGGATCTGGTCCCGTCATGTAATATTACTTTCTAAATAATGATGGGTAATTATGGCATTTAGTTCTTCTTACTTGTTTGGGGATTCATTTTCAATATATTTTACCTCTGTAGGAAGAGGATCGAAAGCTGCTAGTTGGCTTCTTAGAAGATGTAATGACGCTGCTTTCACTGTCTCATGCTCCTCTTGACAGCCTGAAGGCTTCTTTTGTGGAACTTGGGTAAGAACAAAATAGCTTATAGGTTTTGGGGGGAGGGGTTGTTTTGTTTTAGTTTAGTTTATAAAGACATATCAAAGAAAAAGACTTAAGAGTCAGGAAACTAAGACTCAAACAAAGCAGGGAAGCTCCTGAATGATAGCTGTAGAAAGTCCCACTCTAAGAGTTTAAAAGCAGATGAAAGGAGTACCCATTCAAGTTGAAGCCGGGCAGTGGTTTCCAGAAAGAGGGAGGAAAGGGGCTATCACATGCTTCAGCCATTAGAGAGGAAAATACTATGCAGTACATGGTTTTTTTAAGGTTATGTAGTTTGCCAAATGGATTTATTAAATGAATGACCTAGCCACGAAATAATTGTTTTTAAGAGTTACGATTCTATATTTTGAGCTGGTTTGGGTTTTGCTTATTATAGTATTCTTAAATATTTTATAGTCAATGTATTGTGATTTTTTTTTTATGAGAAAGAAGGTACAGACTAATACTTCCTTTGAAGCTGGTATAAAAGTATAATGAAGTGCAGATTAAAAAAAAAAAAAGTTTCCTAAAAGTGCAAAGGAACCTCGATTGAAAGCTAGTATCATGGACTCCTTATTCAGTTCTCTGTGGCATGCTTGTCCTACTTTAACCACAAGTTATGGTTACTGGAATATATATAGCTCAGTCATACTCTTTGTGGTACTAGAAATTAAATCTGGGTTCTTATACATGCCAAACAAATGCTCTCCCACAGAGCTATAACCCCAGCCTTTTTAATATTTTTTTTTCATTTTTTGAGACAAAGTCTCACTCTTTTGCCCCAGCAGGCCTTGAGCTCATTTTATAGTTCAGGCTCCCCTTGAACTGGTAACCCTCCTACCTACCCTCATGAGCAGCTGAGATGTAGGCCAGAGCCACTAGGAGGTACATTTATTAGTAATAACGTCTTTCATTAAGATGGACTTCACTCTACAACCACATGCTTACCCAGTATTTATAGACCTAAGCAAAAAATACAAACTGGCCTAGAGTTTGCAATTTTTGGGTTTTCATATCCTGCGTTCTGTGTATAAGGGTGTGCCACAACTCCTAATTTTATCTGCCATTTTAGTTTTCATGCTATTAAATAGAATTTCTGTCACAAGTGTAGATGCTTAGAAAAATATAACTTTGAATATGGTTTATACTTACATAAAGTGACTTTTGTGGGATCTTAGCTGTGATATAATAAACATGTTTCATTTATATGTTCTTCCAGTGTTTTTATCATTAATATGCATATATATGTAACAAATGCATACACACATAGGTAGTGATTTTCTTTGGTTTTTCGAGACAGGGTTTCTCTGTGTAGCTTTGGAGCCTATCCTGGCACTCACTGGGTAGATCAGGCTAGCCTCAAACTCAGAAATCCACCTGCCTCTGCCTCCCGAGTGCTGGGATTAAAGGCGTATGCCACCAATGTCCAGCATAGTGATTTTCAATGCAGCAGTTAGGCGTGTGGCTTTGATCTTAACGTTGTCATTTTTCCTGTAGTGCAAACCCTGCCTATCATGAGCTGTTGCTGACTGTTTTGTGGTATGGTGTTGTCCACACTTCTGCACTTGTCAGGTGTACTGCTGCTAGGATGTTTGAGGTATGTTAACGTTCACTTCTCTTGGTTCTATTTGTGATTTCCTTTGGGAAGGAGAAACTTCTAATTTTTAAGTATCATGTATGGGGGGGCATACATATTTATTTATTTATGACAGTGTATGCTATCTAGTTGTGAACTGTGTGATGGGGCAGAACTTTAGCTTTGGCAAATTGAAGAATGTTTTCTAGCCTTATTGGTTCTTTGAATGTTATTTTCAGTTTCATTTCTCTTTTAAACCTTATTTGAATTCCTTCCTATTAAATCTTTTTGATTGTCCTATCCTATTTACTGAGGTAAATGACTACTCAAGCTAAAACAACATAGGGTATTGCTTCTTTAATAGTATCAAAATACAGTTATTTGCAATTATAGTATTCCTTCACATACCATATCTGGAATAGTACCTCTAGTCATCAATTGTCTATAGACTTAAAAGGCAGGAAAATATAATGTACCTAGAGTTTATTAACTTGCTATCTTCCCAAGTAATATAATAACTGAAAATTTACCCAGCAGGTAGCATGTAGACATGTGTACTTATTTTTAGAACTTAAAGTCTTCAAATGGTTTGTTTATTGTTGATGGTGTTGAGTCTTACCATAGAGCCAGGCTGCCTGGGTTCAGTTTCCATCTCTTCCACTAACTTTGTTAATTACTTGGACAGAAATATGTACATTAGTTTCCTTATCTACAAAATGAAGAAAATGACAAGTGTCCTATTCAAGTGATTTTTGTAAATATTCAGTGAGTTAGTACTGTAAGCCCATAACATGATGTTAACCATATGAGCTGTAATAAATGTTAGTTGTCACGTCACTGTTTTTCTAATTTGCGATACTACTTCACAAAACAACTGTATAAGAAACATATATTTGTTGAAACTAAAATTGTCCCATTATGCCTGTTATTCTTTGTTAATTTTTAGAAGTTATTTTTCACAAAATACACTTCGATGATATTCTTTCCTCTTCCCCAGCTCCTTCCAGATCCTCCTCACCTCCTACCTGACCAACTTCATGTTCTTTCTGTCTCTCTCAAAAAAACAAGCCACCAAAAACAAAAACTGAAAATCAAAACAAACAAGCTTTTAAAAAAAAAGAAAGAAAGAAAATCAGTAATACAAAACAAAACAGAACAAAGCAAAAAGTGCTCAATAAACAACACAGAATCTGTTTTGTGATGATCAGCTACAAAGGCCTGCCTGTGGTTGGTATATGCCTAGACACTCCATTGGAGAAAACTGGTTTCTCCTCTCCCAGCCAGGTATCAATTGCAAATATCTTCTTGGTTAGGGAGAAGAACTTAGAAATGTTTTTGAGAAGAGTTATTAATTCAATCTTCCTGAATTTAAGAATTTCTCTATAATTTAAGATAAATTGTAAATGGGAGGATAGAATACTTCATATATTTAAATAGTTGCTTTCTATAATTTTCAATAACTATCTGAATTAGATTGATCAAACAAACCTAAATAAAATTCTCTTGACCTAAATAAAATTCTAAATAAAATTCTTTTATTGAAAATTTAATTTTCAATAAAATTGAAAGTTTTTTCTATTTTTTAAGCACAGCTATAATCAAGAATTATTTGATGAAGTCGATGCCAGAATAATTTTAATTTTTTTTATTTATACAAGTTTCTTCTTGGTATAACTTATTCAGTGTGCTGAAACGAGGACATTGCCATGAAAGATGGATTTCTTCGTCTCTGTCTCTCTCTCTCTCCTCTCTCTCTCTCTCTCTCTCTCTCTCTCTCTCAAGAAAGATGTGTCCTTTCCAAAACCTTTGTTAATACACTCTTCATGCAGTTTTACTCTAAGACCTAAAAACTTAAACTTGACTGGTAGTTTCTAATATATGCACACACTCACACATATATATGTATATTGTATATGTATATATGTGTGTATATATATCATATCAATAGAAACTTCAAAGAAATAAAATGTAGCCTGCCCCCTCTTCACATTTGGTTTTGTTTGTGTGTCTGCCTTGTTTCTGTAGGTGACTTTTGGTTTCTGTGCTTGCTGTCAGTGCTTGTCTAAACACTGTACCTGTGCCTATGCAGTCGTCAGTGTCCTTTCAGTTGATAATGAACTTCTGAGTTTAGTTTGACAGTGATTTAGAATGTTTTCAAATTAATTGTAAATTTAAGGAGTACCTGGTGAACAGATGGATTCGCATTGGAATATATTTTAATGTTATTTAGGGTATAATTTTACTGAATATATACCAGGAAAAGTTATTGATAATAGAAATTGAAGTTCCTTTTTTGTCAGTGATGGTTATTTGGGGGAAATAATCTACCAAAAATAATGTCTAATTCATGAGATTTCTATTATATTAATGTTTTAAAACAACGGCATTTAAGATAATGTTTTTTTATAGAAGTGGTGTTAGGGGCTGTGGTAAGGGCATGGCTAAGTTACTAGGGCATTTGCCTAGCACACCAAGGGTCCTTTGTGCTTTCCCAGGACCATATAAGATTGGTTGTAATGATGCAGAAGTCAAATAGGTGGATCAAAAGCACCCTCCAATGAATAGTTAGTTCAAGGCCAGCCAGGACTACCTGAGAGATTACCTCAAAAGTAAAACAACAGAATAAAATGATAGGAGTGAGAAGTGGATATACTAGGAACTTCAGTTGAAATATTTTCTGGAATTTAACATAAATTTAGCTTCATTTTTAGATAGCAGGAGAAAACCAATAGGTTTATATTGTTCCTGGTGTTAAACAAGAAACCACATCTTACCTTCTGAGGTAGAAAATGAATGAAATTCTTTTGTAGGGGGAACTTAGTGGCTTTCATGTTAGTGACCTCGTAGAGTGACAAATTATAGAAAAGAACTTCACATAACTAGTATATTAATCATGAGGTAATTGAACCCATTAGACCATAACTCAAAGAAAGCACAGACATCAGATAAGAATGAGTCAGTCCATTGTCTAGTTCTACTTTCAACTCAAAAACCCTGTACAAATGCACTTCTTTTCTACAAGTCTGTTTCTTCATCTGCTAAAAGTTTGATAATGTTTGTATTTGCCTCATCAGACATGAAAACCAAAGGATACAGTATATAAAATGTCTATTAATTGATAACTCTTAAATTTGTTGGCTAATTTTTTTAGCTTTTTTTTTTTAATTACCTTAAGGATCCCAGCGCAATGAGAGATTATCTTATCTTCTAAATCAACACCTTTGAATAGACACAGATAGAAGGCATCAAGTTAGGCTTTGCTGATTCAAACTTATGCCATCTTATGCTATAAAGAATTTGAACTCCTTGTCCTATTTCTTCCAACCTGAATACAGTCACATTAATATAATAGCAAGACGTCTTCTGTCATTTTTCTCCTGCCTACTTATGTAGGCATTTAATAAATTGTCTCAGAATGCCAAAATCAACTCTGGAATGAATTGGGTTGATAAATGGTAACAGATTATTGCAGAAATAAATTATCTTCAGATAACATCAGCTAAGCTTCTGTTACTTTATAAGAGGAGCGTCAACAAATGCCCAGTGGTGATTTTGATATGGAAAGTCCATGGGAACTCTGATCTTCTGTGAGAACTACTATTCTATTACTATTACTACTATTAAAATTCCATAGTAATTTATGCTTATATTCTGAAGCTAGGGGAGATTGGTATTCTTTTAAAAAAAACAAAATGTATATACTAACTACCCTCTTGTACAAAATTAGCATTGGTTACTAACAAAAGTATTTTAGTGACTGTTAGAGAAATAACTTGATTCTGGTTATCATACTTACTCTAAAAATTATGTAAGCTTTTAGAAAATTAGAAAGCAAAGATGTGTTCAGGGGTAAACTAACCAATTTTAATTCAATGATTCCTTTTTATAATAATTCCAAACCCTATATTATTGAGTAGTCATAATAACTAAGCTCATCTCTTGTGTGCATATCCTTTGTCATGTGCAATATTTCTTGCTTGCAAATTAATAGTACACTTGTCCTTTGAATGAGGTGAGGAAAAGGATTTTCAGAGGAGCCAACTAGTTTATTCTGTAGTTCACCAAAGGCTACATAGCTGATAGAGAGTGAGAGCTGGAATTTGAACCCAGAGCTGATTTCCAGGTCTAACATTCCAGGACACAATGCTGCAGTATGTCTGTTGCTCACGTGATAAGGCTGTGTGAGGAAAGGTTGGGAGTTTTACTATGTGGACTTTAATGTCCTCACTGGAGAATCCTCAGAAGCAGTAGTAATGGCTACAAGCCATTTAACGTTGCTTTTTTAAAGGCCTATTTGTATTTGGTGATCATAATAAAATAGCCAATTAACTTTAAATTTTTTAACTGGTTATATTGTTAATATATGTCTCTTTTTTAGATTTTTTTTTTTTTATTTTTTAAGAGCTGTAGTGGTGCACGCCTTTAATTCCAGCACAAGGGAGGCAGAGGCATGTGGATCTCTGTGAGTTTGAAGCCAACCTGGTCTACGTAGTGAGTTAGCACCAGCCAGAACTACAGAGACCCCGTCTCAATAAAACAAAAAAGAAAAAAGAATATTTTTCCTTTATATTTTAATTGAAGATGGGAATTGAATGTAGTCTTTGACCTAAAGGACAAACTGCCATCCAGGTGGTGACAAGCCTCTTTTTGTGGACTGCTGAGACAATTTAAGCTTTCTTTCCTCCTAAGCCTTCCCTGCCTTGGTAAGCACTCTAGTAGCAGTATTTGCTTAGCTTCTAATTTTGGTTTTGCTTTTGTGTTTTCTCTCTTTCTCTTGGTTGTTCTTTCTTCTTCCCATGGCACACTGTTTGCTTTCCATGCACCGCCTGTGAATATCCCCTGTGCTGACCAATCAGCTGTTGGTGAAGGGGGTGAATGAGACTCTGGTAGCTCAGAGGGTGGTTCCTGCTCTCATTACTCTCTCCAGTGACCCTGAAATGTAAGTGTTGTCCCTGCCTTCTATGTCCAGCATTCCTTTCTAAGTGGGCCTGTTGAGAAATAACCATCATGCTGTTAACAGTCACTGAAAATAGTAATGTTGGGTTATATGCTTATTTGAAATTTTATCATGTTAATATTAATATATTGTTGAGGTTGTTTTTTAAATCAGCCTCAAAATGAGCCTAATTTGGTGGCCATGTAGTAGAGAAAAAAGTATGAACATTATAATCAATAAACACTTTTCAAACAAAACAAGCTGATGGACTATTTCTTCCAAGCCAAGAAAGGATGCTCTGCTAATCTCACTAACAGGTTGTTGCCGTGAGTGTAGTGGCATGAACCAAAGGCTTAACATTTTAATGTGTCATATGGATGACTAAAGCAAGAAAGGCCAGCGAGTCTGCCTGCCCATCCTCAGTCACAGCTAACCCAGTTCTCATTCCAGTTTACCAAACCATTTTTTATTGCATGTTGACTGGTTTACAGCTGACTCTTCGAGGCATGAGTGAAGCATTAGTTGACAAGCGGGTTGCTCCGGCCCTTGTTACCTTGTCCGGTGATCCTGAATTGTGAGTTCACAGACTGTGACCCTGAGTTATCCTGCCTGTCTTACTGAGCATTCTTCCTGGTCTGCTCTTTAAAAGTTTAACTGTCATTGCTAGAGACTAATGCGGGATTTCTACCTTGTGCTTATTTTGATACATATGTTAATGATGATCCTATTGTTTATCAGGGAAATCTCAGTCTCTTTCCTTTTTTATTTCTAACAGCTCCGTTAGGATTGCTACAATCCCAGCGTTTGGCACTATTATGGAAACAGTTATTCAGAGAGAGGTAGGAAATGGACATTTGTTTATTACCTCTGTGCTGATGTGGTGACACATTTCTAATGACATACCTGAAGATAGGGTCAGAGAGCATTGTGACTTTTATGGCATTTCTTAAAAGTACAGATCAGAGGAAGATAATATTTAAAAAGCACCATAACCTAAAGTAATTGTTTATTCTAAGATACCTCCATTTCTGTATTAGTCTTCTCAATTAAAAAATTGACTATATAGCCTAGCTGTATAAGCCAATCTGCAAATGATCTCTCTACATATGCTCTCTCTCTCTCTCTCTCTCTCTCTCTCTCTCTCTCTCTCTCATGCAATCTCACTGAGTACTCTTGGCTGGTGTGGTTAACCAGGCTGGCCTTGTACTCACAGAGATCTGCCTGCTACTGCCTCCCAAGTGCTGTAATTAAAGGTGTGCACCACCATGCCCAGCATACATTTTCATTGCTAGTTTGAAGATGTATTTTGTCACAAAATATTGTGAAAACAAAGCAATCTCACTTTTACAGATGAAGTAGAGAGGGCACCTGTATCCTGACAACTGCCATTGATGCTACATTGTAAAATCCTTTAATAGGTTATATAGCTCTTGTGGCTTGTACCACTGTAAACCCTGCCTTGCCTGCTTCCAGTTTTTACAAGCTTTTCCTCCATAAAGATTATTTTAATTCTGAAACTGTGTTTATTTCAACATTTTTATGTTCTATGCCTAACTAATTAACTAAACATTAAATATAACATACTTCTCAAGGTACTAGTTAAGAGTACTTGTTGCTCTGGCAGAGAACCTGGGTTTGGTTCCCAGCACCCAAATGGAGGCTCACAACCATCTGTAACTCCAATTTAAGGAATAAGATGCCTTCTTCTGGCATCTCCATGCAAAACACTCGTGCATGTAAAATAAAAATCCTTAAAAGAACATGTATCAAGAGTATCAAGAGTTTTTTTTCTTTTTGTCATATTGGACACATATTTAGTACAAATGAAAAAAAATCTTGTGTATTAGAAAAGAAATGATTTATAGATATGTGGCTCACCAAAATAAGAAATTCAATAGAATTTTATTGTCATAAAGACTCTTATAACAAAAATTAAATTTTTAATTATAGAAAGAATATTTCCCCCTTTTTTGCTCTATATTTCACTGACAAAGCAATAGAAAAAAAAAAAGAACACATCTTTCTGCAATGCTTGCAGTCTTGGCAGAATTTCAACATGATCTTAAATCCTAAAATAAGATGTCTTTTAGGGAAATGTGAGTAAAGTGTAAGTCATATATGACTCACTGCTTTCAGGAGGTGACTAGCTGGGTACTTACACTATAACGTGAGAATTAGAACTTAGATACAAAATCAGAACTTTGCCAACTTTTCCTTACATAGTTGGGTTTTTTTCAGGTGTGTTTTTATTGTTAATCTAAATTCAGAATTACTACACAAACAGAAACTGAGATCTTTTCTGAGTAAGAAGACTTAACTGTCATGGCTTTGCAGCATGAATCCATTGTCATAGGCCATTTTTAATCTGCTTATTGTTCACCCTAGCAGCACTACTCTATTTTTAATAATCTGTATCTGATTTTAAGTTACTAGAAAGAGTGAAGATGCAGTTGGCTTCTTTCCTGGAAGACCCTCAGTACCAAGACCAGCATTCTTTGCATACAGAGGTTATCAGAACATTTGGCAGAGTCGGGCCTAATGCAGAACCTCGCTTCCGAGATGAGTGTAAGTCCTCTTTCTACCTGTTCCTGAATTGTGCCATCATGGGGGACTGGTTTGGCCATCAAAGCATTGCTGTTTATTTCTCACATTCTAAAAACTCCCCTGGAATTGATCCCTGTTGTGTTCCTAAACACCAGCTATAAATAAAACACAGAGTAACTTCCCACTTAAGAAACTTTCTTTTTTTTTTTCTTTTTTTTTTTTTCTTTTTGAGCCAGCCCTGGCTGTCCTAGGATTTGCTTTGTAGACCATCCTGGCCTTGAAGTCACAGAGATCCACCTGCCCACCTCCCAGCTATAAGAGACTTTCTTAATCAAATTTTAAGGATGTTTCTTTGTGCTTCTAGTCACATTCTTTTAGGAAGTTCACAATTATCCCACTTGGTATGCCATCAGCCTGTTTGAATTGTCAGTGTTTTGATCTGCATAGTGATCTACTAACTCATTTTCTCTAGTCTCTATATTCTCTTCCTTACTGTGGCCCTCAACATTTATAACAATTTCTTACATGGCATCAAATCATTACTCCCAAAGCATATTTGTTACCACTGTGATACTTTATTGTCTTGTTAGTGTCAGCAATTTGACATGCTTTCTAGAGGGTCATAGGGTTAGCCACTTAAGTCAGTTTAGTTTCCACTGGAAAAAAAAAAAAAATTGTGTTCTTTAATAGATTGTTTATTATATAGCCAGACTGTTTTTTAAGATCAGAATGATCAACAAAAAATAGTATGTGATTATTTGGACCATAAATAAGATACAAAAGGCTTGTTGAGGGCAGCAGCACTTCCCAACACTGTCAAGGAAAGTCTCTTCTCATTCAGTGAGTATACTCATGTCTAGTTACCCAGCCAACAGAAAAAGATTGCTGATTTAGTTACCAACATGGACAGACCTAATGTAACAATACCACATTTACTTGTGATCCTAAGTCAGAGCTCTGAAGGGTGGGTTAACATCACTGAGACAATAGTTTCTTTGAAGGGCAGAAAGTAACTCCTGGTTCCTGGATTAAGGGATATGATAAGTAATAATGGGTCTTTGGCTTATGCCCTCTTGTTGAGTTCAGTCCCCAGTAAAGCACTATGTAACCTATTTTCTTTTTGGGGGGGGGGGGGGGGGGGGGGGGTGGGGGGGGGGGTTGGTTTTTCCGAGACAGGGTTTCTTTGTGTAGCTTTGGAGCCTTATCCTGCACTCGCTCTGGAGACCAGGCTGGCCTCAAACTCACAGAGATCCGCCTGCCTCTGCCTCCCGAGTGCTGGGATTAAAGTCGTGCACCAACGCCCGGCGTAACCTATTTTCTTGTACTCACAAGGGAGATTTGGAGGAAGAAGCTGTCTGGAATGCTGTGAGCATGAAGTGTAGCCAGTTTTTTCATGAGTGCATGTAGGCTTTGTCCTCAATAATTCTAGTCCCACAGTTATTTCTCAGAGCAAACATTATCTGTATTTCAGTGTCTCTTTTTAGAATTTTTAAGAAGTAGACCTCCTATATGATAGTTTGATTCTTGCAATCAATGGCTACCTATTAAAATACATAAGAATTGTGTAAATAGAAAAGAACTGGCACATCTCTGTGAGTTCGAAGGCAGTCTGGTCTACAGAGCGAGTTCCAGGACAGGTGCCAAAGCAATACAGAGAAACCCTGTCTGGAAACCCCCCCCAAAAAACACACACACACACAAAAAAAAAAAAAAAAAACAGGATTTTTGTCTTTTCCCAGTAGTCCCAAAAGAACAGTAAAGGTGTGCTCAGGAAAATTTTAGTTGAGTGTAGCTTCAGTTAACCATTGTCTCTGATTTCTCCTGAAAATAGTTTTAGGGAAAAAAATTTTTTTGATCTCCCCACTTTGGATTACTTGAGCCTTTTAGGGCCTTTACCTTGAGAAATTTAATGTTCAGTCTGTAAATAGGACTTATGGTGAAATCAAGCCTATATCAGAAAAAAATGCAATATTCTTAACTATCCATTTTTATAGATAATTCTCTTCGGGTCTTTGGAGAAAGAGTGGAGAGGTTGGAATAATGAGATTATTTAACACTCTGTTCCTTAACTAACATTAGTTCCTTCATTAGCCCTTATTATTTCCCAATTTTTTATTAGATCTTTCAGTCTTGTATCTGTTTGAAAACTTGTTTTGGTGTGCATGCATTCGTGTTACCTGCATGTATATCTGCACTGATGGGAGCCTGGCACCCAAAGAAACCAGAAAGGGACATCAGATCCAGGTGGCTGCTGAGAACCAAACCCTGGTCATCTATACAATAAACAGAAAGTGTGCTTGACCATGGACCAATCACTGCAGTCCCTTGCTTCTATCTTAAACATTGACTGTTTTACCTAAAACACTCTAGTTTTTTATATCCAGCTACTTGTAAGGATCACTGGGAATGTTTGTTTTCTAAAGGCTCAAGTAAATCTGCTTTGGTTTGGGTTTGTTGCCATAGTATGCCTGCCCCTGAGCTAATGAGAGTCTCTTGCCTCAGCCTCCCAAATGCTGGGATTGCAGTACAGGTGTCCTGTGTTTACTTCAGGTCCAAATGCATTTAAAAAAAAAAAAAAAAAAAAAAGACAAAATTTCTTTGCTTTGGCTAGTATATATGTCCCAGGATTTTATTTGAAAGTTCCTGAAATCTAATTTTTAAATTCTGTTTATTTTATTTGCTGTTTTAAATCTTTGTCTAATCAACCTTGAATAAAAAGGCTTCTTAGATGTTGTATCAGATTTTTCTTTCTCATTAAAGAGGAGTTTTAGAATTATTCCCACCCAGGTTATTAAATATTCTTTTGATATTTAATATGCTACTGTCTTTCAGCATGTAAACCATCTGATGAGTTACTAATTGAGTGAATGAATTAGTATAGAGACAGTAGCCTAGGATAATACACATAAAGTGAAATATTGCCATCAATAGAAAATTTTTGTCTTCATAAGCATTAGGAAAATCCTTCTTTTTAGCCTTTAACTACCTCTATACTACTTAGGAAACAGTTCTTCCAGAAGGCATGCATTTGCATCACAAACTCACAGTAAACATGAAAGAAGTCACTGCAGTTGCCAGTGGGTTGTGTTCTCTAACCAAGCAAGAACAGAAAGGGTTCAGAGTCACTGATTCTGAAGCCAGTCCTGCAAAAAGCTGGTTTTCTGGAGAGTCTATGCTTAGTAAAAACAATCCTGGGCATCCAGGATGATTGCTGCTTATTGTTGCCTAAGCCATTGCTTTTATTTTACAGAAGTTGTCTTTCACCCTCTTCTGTGAGGCTATTCTACCCCTACAGTGACTAGAAATTCAGAGTGCTATTTAACAGTGGGTTTGCTACAACTATGAGAAACTGAAGATACTTGTGATATTGTGTGAAATAATTTATTAATGAGAAGGGGAAATGCATGTGCCTTTTATGTAATCGCAGTGGCAATATTTTCATAAGGAAAGTTATGTCTAGGATTGCATCATAGTGCATATAAGCTGTGTGTCTTGATTCATTTGTTTATTGTTTTTCCATTTGGGAGATTGGGAGGTAAGGTGAGATCATCTGTAAATAGTTCTCAGAACAAGATGGCAGTGATAGTGTTATATTATCTCTTTATTTGGAAAAGCATACATTTTTGCCTAATATGAAAGAGCAAGCAGAGGATGTGGGTAAACATTTGAAAGTGCCCAGCATTAAAATGAAATCTTATAATTTAAAATAATAATTATGTGTTATAAAGTATGAGGATTATGTACACGTGATTGGGATAAAATATAACCTTTTTTTTTTCCTTTTTCAGTTGTTATACCACATTTACATAAATTAGCCTTGGTGAATAACTTACAAATTGTGGATTCGAAAAGACTGGACATCGCAATCCATCTTTTTGAAGCCTACAGTGCACTGTCCTGTTGCTGTATCCTTGCTGTGTTGAGCTGTATATATAATAAACCCAGGTGTAAAAAATCAAGTGGACATTTTGGAAGTTTTGGTTCAACTTGCTGTACCTATTTTACTGTAGCCATCTCATAATTTTTAAAGGTAGCTTTTAATCCTCTGTTTATATTTTATAAGTTTAAAGCCCTGATAAGTTCTCTACCCTGAGCTTTAATATACAATGAGCAAGAAATCTAGGGCAGAATGAATCTAGGCTTTTATGTTCTGGTGTTGGATTTTACACCAAGAATGTTTAATTTATCTAGTGGAATATTATGAATTTCTCTTAGAAAAATGTCACTCTCTGGAGAAGTTCAGGATCAACATGGCAGTCATCTCTAGTAACAACTGGGAGAAAAACATACTTGAGGCCCGTATCAACTACTAGATTATAAATTATTAAACTCAGACTTAAAGACTGTAGAGACAACTTTTGCTTTCCATAGTTAAAGGCAAAACTGAACTGGTACATAGAGTTGTTGCTGTCCTGTTCATCGTTCTCTCTATACTGTGTTTAGTAAAATTAAAACTAGGAAGGAAGTGAAGATGGGCCAAGTGAACTTCTAGCCTCTAGCTCTCAATAAAAGATAGGAGAGTTCAAGAAGGGGAACTAAGAGGTTGGGAAGGGTGGAAGGCTGTATTCTCAATAGAACCATAGAAGCACATGTTAGACGAATAATTAGAAAATTAACATCATGGCCAAGTTTCAGAGTACCATGTTTCTATGTTATATGCCAGGTCACAGTTCTCAGCAGAGGGAACAGGTCACTTCAAGTAAGATAATTGTGTGTTTTAGAGTACCACAGACACTCATTAGTGCTAGAATTTTTTTTAGCTGGAATGTAACCACAGAGGGTTGCTTTTGTTCAGAATAAATTAAGTTGGAAAAGCTGTCCGTTGGGGAGCTGTATGTCCCTCTGGAAATAGTAAACTTAGAAAATAAGGTGCATTTATGAGTTCATTTTATATTGAGAGTTGATTACAATGATGTAATTATGTGGATGGTGTAAGCCATGATTTTTATAATATAGGTTATGTAGTCAGCAGGGATCTAATACTTTAGTTTGATAACTTAAGGGTCCATGTCCTTTATAAATTTTGTTCCAGGAAAAGCAGAAGTCACTGTCACTCCTGATTCATCTTGTTGGATTTTCAACTTAGAGAAGATAGAGGAAGCAGATGAGGAACTTCTGTTCTGAGTTGGCAAGGAGGAATCTTTTTATGAAGAAGTGATAGAACCCTGACAAGAGAGCTATGATGGCGTGAGAATTAGAAATTCAGTCCTGGAAGTATTTGTTATAAGTTAAGCAAAATTCACATGTAATCTATATTAGCCAATGTGCCTCAAGGAAAAGGGAAAAGTCCAAGGACAACTTTAGCTCTATAAAACAGAATTTCCAAATAAGAGAAGCAGTGGTTAGTGAAGAACATAGAAATGTATACAGAGAAATTATCAAGTGTTTCAGTATGCACAAACTATAATAAAGTGAAAACTCCCTTGCTAAGACAAGAAGAGGAAGAGCTATCTTAAGAGTAGTGTACTCTGTTGTGTCTGACTTGCACCCTGGTTGAGTCAAGAGTGTGGTCACTAACGGAGTCCCATTGCCCAGGTCTGTTCTGTAAGAGCTGATTAGAATATGGCTTCCTTTCAGAACTGTCATAGGAAAATTACATGTATCATTGGGCCCAGTAACAAATAAAATGTCATGACAAGCTTGAAGGACATTTAAAAATATCCAAGCTACAGAGTAGATGGCTTAGGGGTGATGAGAAAATTTGACAAGGTGTGTGTTGAAGAGAGATGAATGGCTGCATATGGTGTACATGGAGGCCAGAGGTTAATGTTGGGTGACATTAACATTGACATATTTTAAAGAAAGTTATGTAGAAGGAGGATCGCAGAGTGTGTCTAATGAAACTCTGAATGTCGTCTTCTTGGCATCTGACCAGTTACCACTGAGATAGAGGTGGTTTCAGTATCAGATAGGACTAAATGATAGGAGTATTTCTAGTCCTTGAAAGCTGGTTTGGTTTGATTTTATAAGGAAAAGATAGGCCCTATTATGAGTAAAAAGAATAACTTCCCTATTTTCTATAAGTATGGCCTTCTTGAGTCTCCATGCCCATGTTTCTCTATATCACTCTCTACTAATCCAAAGGTCACCCACAGTTACATCTTGGAGGTACTTTCCCAGTGTCTAGGAAACAAGACTGTATAGTAATTAGGCTGCAGCCCTCTGTATCGTGTATATTTTTAAATTGTGTGTGTGCGGGAACGTGGGTATGTATTCAGTCCCCCACAATATTTGTCATGACCCAGCATGTCTGGTATGTGCATGGCAGCCATGCACATGTGGAGGCCAGTGGACAGCTTTCCAGAGTTGGTTCTCTCCCATCTTCATGCCAGTTTCAGGGATGGAACTCAGGTCACCTCAAGTTTCTGTAACAGCTGCTTTTTCACTGAACCATCTTGGAGGCCCCATGTATATTTTTAATACCTATTGAATTTATAAGTTATGCATTATAGGAGCTTCGTTTATGAGCATTGTAAACATTTTCAAGGAAGTGGAAATATATTACATTCCTTTTTTTCTTAATGAAGTTCCTGGTAAATTTTTAAATTAAGCAAGTTTCATAAAGGAACTCATTTACTTCGTTTTTTATTTGGACATGGTACAATATTAACCCAGAGCTAGAATAAGAATAATGCAGAATTGATGTAAATGTATAAGATGAATTATTTTCTTGAGAAATGCTCTCATTTCGTATTCTTTTAATGTGGAGATAATCAACTAAAGCTCAAAGACGACCAGGACCTAAAGAAAACTGAATGTACACAAAGGCCCTGGTTGATTCATTCTGGACCATTAGAAAGTCATTTTAGCTAGGCACTCAGGAAGCAGAGGCAAGTAGATCTCTGTGAATTCAAAGTCAACCTGATCTACAAAGTGAGTTCCAGGACAACCAGGGTAACACAGAGAAACCCTGTCTCAAAAAACCCAAAGAAAGAAAGTCATTTTAGCAGATGTTAAAACAAAAACAAACACAAAAGCATGTGACTGGAGAGAGATGGCTCAGTTTGGAGCCCTGACTACTCTGCAGACCATTTGTGTTCAAGTCCTAGCACCCACATGGTGGCTTACAACCATCTGTGACTCCAATTCCAGGGGATCTGATGTCCCTTTCTGGCTTCTGCAGACACCAGGTACACAAGTCATACGTCCAGACAAAAATCCATACACAAAATAAAATTATTTCAATTGAAAAAGGAAGAACCCAGAAAAATATGTATGCCTTAGACAAGTTAATCTGACCTTAAGTTATCAAGTATGTTGTCATTGATTGTGCTGCCATTTATATGAGGATCTGCTGGGTTATAGGTGAGTGTCAGCCTCAGGTAAAGCACATCTGTAGTGCACAGTGGGTCTCTAAAGAGAATCCCAAATGGTTCTGATGAGGAATGGAGACCTTTTTTCTAAATTTTCTCATACTCCCAATCTTTTGTAATTAATTATCTTACACATAACAATTAAATAGCAACTTGTTTTTATCAGTTTTTTTCATATCTTTCAACTTAGCTATCATGAAAATATTTTCATGTGTGCATGTGAAGGTCAGAGATCAACCTCAGGTATTGTTCCTCAGGAACTGTCCACCTTAATTTTGAAGACAGCATGTCCCCCAGATTTCCTCGTGTCTCCACCTCCCTGGACATCATTGCACCAGTTCTGTGCCTTTTCTCTACCCACCCTGTAAATGCTTTATTACCTCTCATATTTAGAACTTACTTAGGATAGTGTTAGATTACATAATTTAATGTTCATAGTCATATTTTGCTTATATAGTAGTTAGTTAAATTATAAACTGTTAGAGATAACACCAATAACATAAATAAATGTGTAAGAATATACCTGGGTGAGTCTTAGTATCAACTTTTCCCATGAAGGCGCTGTCTATGAAGGAAGCCTGACTCCTTCCTGAGTGTGTGCTGTGCCTAGACACTATCTAGAATCATCTCTCTTTGTGATCTCTGCTCTGATGGCCCCTTTTTGGGTTTCTTCCTTTTCCTTAACCACCTTTCCTCAGTCATTTCAGAGGATTTAATGGTAAATCACTTTTTACCCGGCCTCAGATGTTTACGGACTGACATGGAACATCTGTCTCCAGAACATGAGGTAGGTGCCTATGACTAGCAGTTCTAAGTTCGTGGATTTAGCATCTCCTGAACATGCTCTCTTCTCCCTTTGTGAGGTTTGATTATGATAGCCATGCTTAACTGTTAAAATCCAGCTTGGCATTATTTTGTGAGTACATTTACTAGTTGTAATACTTCAGCAGGTTCTTTAGCATCTTTGAGCCTCTGTAATTCTCTAAAGTAGAGATAACAAACACACTCTCCTTCACTTGATACAAGGAGAATTAAATATAGAAACATCTGTGGGATATTTTATCTGTTATATGTAACTATCCTTGACCACTAATTTCCTTTAATTCAATTTTCTCTGCCTATCACTTTATTTCTAACTTTGTGTCTTCCGGCTCTATTTCTTCCCAGCACTCTGTATCTACTCCTGACTTCCACACTGTCAGCACATTAGCCTGCTTGCATGTCAGAGCCTTGACCCAGTCTCTTTCCAGGGTCTCTAATGCGCTATCCTCTTCAAGTTTTTAGAACGATTTAAACTGTGATTTATTATATTTGACAATGTTAACTGTATTTCACTTTTCTAATCTGACTTTTCTAATCAGGTTATTTTAAGTTCCATGATAAAAGAATGTGAACAAAAAGTAGAAAATAAGACTGCCCAAGAGCCTCAAGGGTAAGACATTTATTCTTTTTTAAGGCTTCTTATTAACCTGAATTTCTCTGGCTAAATTTGCTATCTGTGGGTATAATATTTTATTTTGTGTTATTTTGTAATCACTTATTAGGAAGACAAGAAAATTATTCAAGCCAGGCATGGTGGTGCATACCTTTAATCTCAGCACTTGAGAGGCAGAAGGAGGCTCGGTCAAGGCCAGAGTAGTATGCATACATAGTGACTTCCAGGAGAGAGAGAGAAGAGAGAGAGAGAGAGAGAGAGAGAGAGAGAGAGAGAGAGAATTATTCAAGTCAGCTTTTTCTCAAGTGTTGAACCTATCATGAGAAATACATGGGGATTTTAAGATTCAGATCTCTACCCCATGCTTTGCACCTTCCCTCTCAATATTCTATGCAGCCTAGAGAGGTAGGTAGAGGTGTGTGTGTGTGTGTGTGTGTGTGTGTGTGTGTGTGGTGAGGAGCATAGGTATGCAATGGCACACATGTGACGATCTGATAAAAACTTGCAGGAGTCAGTACTCTCAGTACCACATGGGTCCTGAGGATTGAACTTAGGTTGTCAAGCTTGATGACAGGTGCCTCACTTGCTGAGTCGCCTCTCCAGTCCCTAGCCTAGGAATCTTTAAAGGCTTCCAGAGACATTTCTGTGATGCTACTGGATTGAGCCTTACCAGTTCAATAAATATTACCTTTAGTTTGTGACAGTAGTTTTCAAATGTGGGAATGTTCTGACCAAACTAGACATAATTCAAAGATTCAATGAATTCTGGATTCAATTCAAGTTAGAATGTTGAACATTCAAAAATGGGAATAATTTACATATGGGTTCATATACTATTTTCAATAAAGAATTAAGGTTTTGAGCAACTAATCATAAATAAAGCTCAAACACATTTCCTTTAAGGCTGACTACCAGAAATAAACATTTCATTAGATCAGTCTTGAGTTTTCACACATACAAATAGGTACATACGCATGTGCAAGAGTATCTGTGCCCATGTGCGCACACAGACACACAGAGCTCATACTCCTCCCTAAAGCCAGTACACATAAGTATCATGCCTCTGTAAAGTATTGGGAACTTCTTAACCCCCTGTGATAAAAAGAGAGCTCCCCCACCCACTCCACTGTTTTAGCCTTGGCTCTGCCTCCTGTGTGCTAGGATTGCCAATGTACACCACCATGTCCATCTGAAATATAAATTCTTAAATGAGGCAGGTTGAGCCACTTGCAGCTTGCCACACATTGCCCTTGATTTGTTCATACATGTTTGCTTATTTAATCCTATGGACATTTTACAGTAGAAACTGCAAGCTATGTTCTATAGACAAGGAGGCCGAGCTTGTAAGATCTAAAGCATCTTGATCAAAACCACAAGGCAGTAAGCAGGTTTCCTGTCTATTGCAGGACGCTTGTTGGAGCTCTAAAAAAAAATGTGCTTGATCAGGGTTTTCTTCCTGTTAAGCAGTGTGATAATAAGCAATCTTTCGTAGTCATTCAGATTGTGTTTACTTCCTGCACACTAGGCTGCTGAAAATGAAAGAAGAAATGAATTTGAAGACAGTTGAGTTGTTCAGAACACACACACACACACACACACACACACACACACACACACCAAAAAAGGAATAGGATTGTTAGTGCCAAGCTCACTGTCATTTAATTTGCTTATTTGAGAAATAGGTAATACCTGTGTTCCAGACTTGCTTTAAGAATTGAATGAAGTGACTGGGCAATGGTGGCACATGCCTTTAATCCCAGCACTTGGGAGGCAGAGGCAGGAGAATCTCTGTGAGTTCGAGGCCAGTCTGGTCTACAAGAGCAAGTTGCAGGACAGCTGGGGCTACACAGTGAAACCCTGTCTTGAAAAACAATACAAAACAAAAAAGATTGAATGAAGCAATGGAGTTAGAGTTAAAAAAAAACTACACATGCCAGGAGGCTATCTCAGTCAGTAAAATGCTTGCCATGCTACTAGCATGATGGCCTGAGTTCAATCCCCAGAACCCTGTTTTGTGTTTTGTTTTGTTTTCTGTTTTTTAAGGACATGGTAGTACATTCTTAATATTCTAGCTCCAAGGAGGCAGACAGGAGGATCCATCCAGCCTAGCCAGGTGGTAAGGCCCAGGCCAGTGAGAGATCTGTCTCAAAAGAAGATGGATAGCTCCTGAAGAACAAAGCATGCCGGCGAAAGAACAACTATTAAACTACTAACACTTGTAGAATGCCATCATGTGTCTCCCACTTAGTATTTGTGTAATCCCAATAGCCCTCTGAAACAGGCTTATTGTGTAGATATACAACTTCCTCAAGGCTGCACAGCTAGAAAGTAGAGCCTAGATTCTGTCCCCAACCATACATGATATTAACTGTTAAAATACCAAGTCTAAGATGATACATAAAAATTCCTCTTCACAAATCTTCATTTCCATTGTGTGATGTAATGATGAAATGTTACTAACAAATGAAAAACTGGAGAGACCCCAAGATGGCTCAGCAGGTTATGGCACTTACCACCATGTCTAATGACCAGGTGGTAGAAGGAGAAAACCACAAGTTGTTCTCTGACCTCCACACATGTGCTATGTCTTAAATTTTTAGTTGCTTTACATTCATTTAAATTTTCTTTTCTAGCTCAATGTCAATTGCTGCAAGTTTAGTGAGTGAAGACACAAAGACCAAGTTTTTGAACAAAATGGGCCAGTTGACAACCTCAGGTGCCATGCTGGCCAATGTGTTTCAGAGGAAGAAGTAGAAGCAGGAAGGGAGCCCCAGCAAACACTAAGGTGGACCTCAAGCAGACTGGCTCCTTGTACTTGAAGCACTTACCTTTTTATTTCCTGAGCTTATGTTCTTGTGTTATAATTTTATCCTAACCTCCAAAGATATTTGCACTGCTTTTGATTATTGCTGTGTATCTGTTGGTTTGGGAATTATAACTGTGGTAATAGAAACTTGATTTAATGATCTGTACCAAGTCCCTATTCTATGTTCTTATTTTTGAGAATAACTTTTATATATAATATATATATGTATATGTATAGTGAAGAGGGGTTTTTTGGTTTCCTTTTTTTTAATTTTTATTTTTGGATGAGATATTCGCAAATATCTGTATTATACTCTAAGCTATTACAATGGTACTTAAAATAATGTAAATTTGAAGTCATTGTTATAAAGTAATAAAAGTGGAGATTACTTAAGTATTTAAATTATGAAAGAATAATGCAGACTTTTTATTATTTCTTAACTGACTAGAAAGAGCCACCAGCATTACTCTGTGCCTTTTGGACTTCAGTTAGTGTGTTCTGTAGGAATTATGTGCATTCCTTTCACACAATATTTGAGGCTGCTGTGGTGAATTTGAATGACAGAGCCTACAACAAGTAGATAATGATGAGACTTAAAACATTTCACATCTTCCTTGAAAATCCTTTAAGTGCTGTTTAGCCTCCCGACACTTAGAGCATATGACAGCATTACCTGAGGGGAAATAGCACTTGAGCATGGTGAGGAGTAGTAGCCAGGGTGAATTTCACAACATTTGTACTAGATTTAAATGCTCAAAAATAAATGTACTGAGAAGAGCTAATAATCATTTGTCCCCAAGTTGAAATACACAAGAAAATAAAATTTAAGTCTGAAATTTAACACCTACTTCCTGTAACACATTTTAAGATGTTCTCTGGTTATTTACATTTTGCAGTTTACCTTTTCATCCTATCTGAGAAGTACTAAAAAGTTTAGGACCTTTGGGGATTCCTTTTTCCCTTCTAAACTGAAAGTGACATTGGTTGAGTTATTATTGGTTAGTCACCATCTGGTCCCTTAAACTCAATGGCTGTTCCCCATTGGAGTGTTTTATATAGTCTTATGTTGATAGAAGGTCCCACTGAAATTGGATGGTTTACACAGTAACCTAGAGAGGTAGGAAGAGTGCTGCACCATAGAAAAGAGGTGACTGGCTTAAGGGGTTAATGTGAGGCCTTTTTGAAAAATGAATTATTTTGATAAAAAGAACTCTCCTTTGAACACAGTTGATGCATATAGATGATTCTCATATTTATTGTATAAATTGGCTTTAATACACTTGGATTACATTACTTTCTAGGAAAGCTAGCTTTCCTACACAGTCAAAGCTTATAAAATAATTTCCCTTGGGTTTAGCCATTTATTTCTTTTACCTATAGTGAAATTATTGAGTAGTCTTTCTGAACTGTTGGATTCTAGGCATTCCTGAGAAATTGAAAGTGGCTACCT